ATTTCCTTGACATCTGGTGGGAGGGCGTTCCACAGGACGGGTGCCAATACTGAGAAGGCCCTCTGCCTGGTTTCTTGTAATCTCACTTCTTGCAGGTAGGGAACCGCCAGAAGGCCCTTGGAGCTGGACCTCCATGTCCGGGCTGAATGATGGGGATGGAGACGCTTCTTCAGGGAGCTGCCTGGGCACATTCTCTTTTGCTTCACTTTCTTCTCTTACTCTTCCACCTTCATCATCAAGCCAGAAATGTGAGAACAACTACTAAGTCTGAGCTACAGCTCAGACTCCATCTTAAGCTAGACTTAAGCATGTCCTTGTAACTGAATTACCATTTTAAGCCTGCCAGAAAAAGGTGCTGTACTGTATCTGTTATTCTGCAACAGAAACTCTGAGTGAGTGGATGCTCCTCTGACCTTTTACAATACTATTCGTGTGATTATTGTTTTAAGGAGGAGAAAGGGGTAAATACCAGGAGAATCCAGTCTGCCTTAAAACATCTGGATTACTTAAACGAAAAGGCTAAAACTAGCCTATCTAAGCTTCCCCTTTAAGCTGCAAAAGGATGCACTCTGCTGAACTCACAAACATGAGGAAGGAAGGATAATATCTAACAATTATATCCTCCCCTACAGTCTATACGCATCCCGACTTTATTTACACATACATAAAACCTGAGCCTAGACAGAGAGAGTTCAGAGCATTCACATCCCAAGAGAGTCCTATTCCCTCCACTGCTGCAGCCTCAGATTCCAGAAGACCCCAAACATTGTGTTTGACCCTGTCTGCAGTATAGAACAGGCAAACTGTCTTCTGTCTTGCTCCCCACTCCAGATGGCAAAACGGACAGTTCTTCTGTTTGTTTACATCAGGCAAACTGTTATCCTAAACCAAAACTACTGGTCGTTTGTCCTACTAACTATCCCTCATTTGAAGTGGGCACTGCCTTGGCTTGATGGGTCAAGACTCTGACTTTGTTTCTTAATGGCGTATATCCAGATGATTCCCTGGTCAGGAAAAGCAAGTTTATCCTGCTTTTTTACACTGTTAATCCAACATCTGGTACCTTCTCTTAGTATTCCAAGCTTTGGTTAAATTCTAACATTTACTAAATCTTGGAACTATGGGTGCCTTGCACCCACAAACTCTAGTACTATGTCTGTGTTAAAGGAAAAGGTAAAGGGAACCCTGACCATTAGGTCCAGTCGTGGCCGACTCTGGGGTTACGGCACTCATCTCGCTTTTTTGGCCGAGGGAGCCAGTGTACAGCTTTCAGGTCATGTGGCCAGCATGACTAAGCTGCTTCTGGCGAACCAGAGCAGCGCACGGAAATGGCGTTTACCTTCCTGCTGGAGCGGTACCAATTTATCTACTTGCACTTTGATGTGCTTTCAAACTGCTAGGTTGGCAGGAGCAGGGACCGAGCAACAGGAGCTCACCCCATCGCGGTGATTTGAACCACCGACCTTCTGATCGGCAAGTCCTAGGCTCTGTGGTTTAACCCACAGCGCCACCCACGTCCCTATGTCTGTGTTAGGTGCATTTTAATGTAATTGTCATTTGGCCAGCACAATAAACTTCTTGAATGAATGAATGAATGAATGAAAAAGTCTCATAAGGACTCTCAACAAACTACACTTCCTAGAATCTTTGGGGGAAGCCATGGCTGGTTAAAGTGGTATGATACCCCTTTGAATGTATAGTGCTGAAAGAGTCCGTATCTGGTAGATGTGACCCAAATATGGTTTTTCTATTGTTCTTCTTTGGATTTTTGCAATGTTTTGCTTTTAACTTTCCTAATACCCTGCCTCGAGGGCAGTACCAGCCCAGGATATTTTGCTATCTCAGCCAGAGCAGCAGATCAATCCCACTGCCAGGCAAGTCGAAGTGTGTGTTACCCACAGCCAGCCAAGCTATTTTAGCAACTCGGGTAGGAAATCCCAGAAGCACCTTTCTCCTTCCCTGGCAGTAAGAATACAATAATAATGCAATTAATGGATTAACCAAGAATACTCTTCCTGATGTTAGGACTGCCCAATGCTAGGGGAAACCATTTGGGATATTAAATATTGCAAATAAATGCATTTCATCTGTGGGTGGAAGGACTGCAGTTTCCTGGTCACGAGGGGAATGAACTCTGCATATGCTCAAGAGCCATATCATTTAACACAGGCATAGGCAAACTCGGCCCTCCAGATGTTTTGGGACTACAATTCCCATCATCCCTTAAAGAAGCACTGTGAAATTTGAGAAGTATTGTTAAAAGGGAATAGAAAAGGAAAGGTTTAAATAATGACAATACAAACTTAAGGAATGCGTAACTTAAATAATGACTATGGATGATTTACGGAAAAGCTGAAGGAAGTCCAGAAAAGAAATACTTTGTGAAAAATTGGATGTGAAATTATTGTGTGTTTTTGTTTTTGTTGTAAATTAATAAAAAAATATTTTTTTTTAAAAAAACAAACAATTCCCATCATCCCTGACCACCGGTCCTGTTAGCTAGGGGTGATGGGAGTTGTAGTCCCAAAACGTCTTAAGGATCGAGTTTGTCTATGCCTGGTTTAACATGTTCCAAAACCAAGTCTTGACACTGGAAGCAGGCTTGGGTGCTCAGGTACTCTCGCCCCTAGCCTTTGACCTCTTTGCAATTAACTTTATGCAGCCTGAATAATCGGCACCATCGTTGTAGTCTATCAATTTTTTTTAATTCGTTAATATTATTACCAGTTAATTGAGTCAAGCGCTGCAGCCCGAATTGGAAGCCCTCCTAACACTGCGAAGGGGGAAATTGTGGAATACGCTACAAAGCTCTGCAGAATCAGAAGTAGGGAACACCCTTGGTCTCTCGCACTACCATTAAAGCCCTTTTGTCGTTGCTAATCAGAGCGGACAGATCTATGAAAAATATGTAATAATGACAGCAGAACAACTGCCCGGTCAGACCGATAACCCCACAAGCCTCAGCAGCTCGATCGTTCCTGCTTTTCAGAGAAAACCCCGTATGAAGCAATCGATAGGACAAAAGCCCTTATTCCAGAGAAAGATGTCAACTCTGGTGAGAAGGCAGGCAAAAGCTGCCACTTCACAACTGCTGTGCAGCAGTGAGAAAAAGAGATGCATACAGTGGTACCTCGGGTTACATATGCTTCAGGTTACATACGCTTCAGGTTACAGACTCCGCAAACCCAGAAATAGTGCTTCAGGTTAAGAACTTTGCTTCAGGATGAGAACAGAAATCGTGCTCTGGCGGCAGCGGGAGGTCCCATTAGCTAAAGTGGTGCTTCAGGTTAAGAACAGTTTCAGGTTAAGTACGGACCTCCGGAACTAATTAAGTACTTAACCTGAGGTACCACTGTATTGCACACGGATTGTCACCCCGTCTGTGCCCTCTCTGTTTTTTTTCTCTTCCTCCTTTCCTTTTCTCCTCAGAAAACGCTGAGAGGCTATATACCATTTGCTGGCAGCAAGGCCCGGACGGTAAGGAGGGTTATAAAAAAGTGTTTTTTTACGATCGGCATCTGAAAAAACACACCAACACTTCATGCCGCTGCAGTTGGTTTGGGCCACCTCATTACTCGGAAGATATTGGCTAGCTGGAGAGAGTTGAGAGGAAAGATAATCAAAGAAAGGTTGAGGAGGGCACAGGGAGGAGGGCCTGATTTTGTGAAGGGGTTGGGGGGAAATAAAAAGGACAAAGAACAGAGCTTCTGGGAAGGAGAAGAAGAGTTCAGCCACATATTGTGAAATGCTCAAGCGGGGATTGGAGGGTTGTTTATCTACACCATTGTCTGGTTTTCGAGTCAACCCTTGGCTCTCCTGTTGCCACCTGACTTTCCACTAACTGATCCCTAGTATTGCTGTCAGGTAATGGAATCACATTTCCCGCATTACAGAGGAGAGTCTTCTATTTGAAGGTGTCCTCTGTTCGAAGGTCTGTGTGATCTGAGTCTGGTTTAAAGATAGAGGAAGAGCTGGCCCTAACGTTTGGCAGAGTGAGACGGCTGCCTCAGGTGGCAGATGCTTGGGTGTGGTAGTGAAGTGTTGGAAGACAGAGCTGTGTGTGCCATGGAGTCTGCTCTGCATCTCCTAAGTTAGCGTGCTGCTGTCAGGTGTGATGGAGGATAGTGTCCCATTGCCGGTGTTGATGGATGTGAATTTGGGTTAAGTATTGCGGTTCCATCACTTCTAAGTCCGGATCTGAATATTCTGACAGCCATTCCCAAATCCGCTATGCTTCTTCTTACATTACAGGCTTACAGGAGCCAGCCAACATTTTATTGCCTTTATGCAATTGAATTAGATTTTAACCAGGTGCCTTATAGTGCCTTTTAAATAATTTGCATCACTGTTATCTCCTGTTGCTGCTTTTATTTGGTTTGATGCTCTTTTGGTCTGTTTTTAGACTCCATATTTCTAATTTTACTTCTTCCTTGTCATTTTACAGTATTCATAGCATTAAAGTATGCATACTCAAGAAGATTTCTGTGGGAAGATTCTGTGATCCATTTAGCAGCTTTTATTACGATATAAAATGGCATAATGTTTCTAAATAAATAAATAAATAAATAAATAAATAAATAAATGGTCGTATATAATGAAAATGTAAGGATGCCATCAAGCTGCAGTTCACATGGCTGTCAACAGGTGGTCACACAAACTGCAGGGCGGTGACAGAACAGCAGGCAAGCAGGTAGTGAATGAGCAGGCAGAATGAGCAGTGTGATGTATGAATAAAAGAATGTGATTTGGAGGAAAACTCGATTTAGTTTGCATTTAAAGACACACCTGCCTAATCTGCACTTTCCTAAACGACATGTGAACCAAAACACAACCGCACTTTAATGAATTTCTCAGCACAGTTTCCCAGCCAATGCAACGTGTACAAAAATGCATACACTGGGGTAATACATATATTGGTGAAACTGTTGGGATGAGATGCTAGGAGAGAATAGTAACAAACAAGAGCACTTAAGCAGGCACTGAAAAGAGCAAAGGCACCTGCCTGGTACCAATAGGCAGGGAGTTCTGAAGAGCACGAGACTCTTGATCTCAGGGTGGTGGGTTCAAGCCCCACATTGGGCTAAAGATTCCTGCATGACAGGGGGTTGGACTAGATGACCCTGGTGGTCCCTTCCAGCTCTACAATTCTATGATCTATGTGTAGGTGCTGTCACACTAAAGGTTCGATTTCATACCACTGTGGAACAAGTAGAGGCCTCTCCCTGTACTTATGTGGCTGTTATGTTTCTGGGTACTGTGTGCATTCATGAAATCGCGTATAGTGGGGGACACGATCTAAAAAAACCTGTGAACACCCTTTAAACCTCTGGACGCCCTTTAAAAAACGAACAGCACTTACCAGACTGGCAAGAATGACGGCAATGGATGGCGGCTCTCAGTCTTCCTCATTGCAAGAGGAGGATGTGGAAGCAATGACGGGGGGCGGGGTAGGCTGTAACCCAGGGCCGGATTTACGTATAAGCTAAACAAGCTTTGGCTTAGGGCCCCACTCTCTTGGGGACCCCAAAATTAAAGGGAAGAAAAATCTGGATGTACGTTTTCAAAATATAACAAATAAAGTGAAACCTCTATACAGCAACAGTGTTGTGTAGGCTCCTATGATGTAAGTAATGGGGCCCGCCTGCTAGCCAGCTCCCTAAAATATCACTGGTTTGCCCATTTCTATATACAGTGGTACCTCTAGTTACGTACTTAATTCATTCCGGAGGTCCGTTCTTAACCTGAAACTGTTTTTAACCTGAGGTACCACTTTAGCTAATGGGGCCTCCCACTGCCGCTGCGCAATTTCTGTTCTCATCCTGAAGCAAAGTTCTTAACCTGAGGTACTATTTCTGGGTTAGCGGAGTCTGTAACCTGAAGGGTATGTAATCCGAGGTACCGCTGTATAGGGTGCCTGCATTCTGCATGGACTGGTTGCAGGGCAACATGTAGCATGCAGCCGCAGACTGCAGTGCAGCCCAGTTGAATGTACGTCAAGCTGTTGTGCCTGTTATCTAATATTAAAGAGTGCTTGTAGACCGATGATACAGCTTAGGTTGGAACTCCAGCCTTGTATCTCTCTCTAACAACATTATTCAAACTGTGAGAGGTGCATCCCTGAAGAAGCCATTTTCGGTGGATGTTGTGGAGCCTATCAATTTTTAAAAACGGCTCTCTCATTTCCTCTCTGCTGAAGCCCAGTTTTTAGGGAGTGTTTTCCAAGAAAGCAGAGCGCCTTCTGAGTTAGCGTTCAAACTGGCATTCATTATTAAAGCCACAAGAAAAGCCATAAAATGCTCTGATGAGCAACCGGAGAGGTTGATCAAGCCGAGTCATGCTCCAATGTGCTGCTGCTGCTGCTACTACACCCAGGACCCCTCCTCCCCAGAAATGTTTTGTTGAGAGAAAGATGGAAGGGTTACGGCGGTCTGAAATGTCTGTCTTTAAACAAGTGGGTAATTTAGCCATTCAAGGCTGAGTGATTGGAGCTCAGAAGGCCGGGCCTTTCATGAATGAAAGAGACAAGGCAGAACAGACAAGATCCAGTTCGAGCCTGCGCACAGAAGAGGGGCGATTTTTGTCGAGTCAGACAATTAGATCCTTGTTTCTGTTATTATTGATCTTACAATGGACTCAGAAAGGAGTTGTCTGAGATTGGGAAAGGGAAAACATATTTCAAGATGGTTTTTTTAAAAAACCAACAACCAGGGCTGATCTTGCCATGAACCATCATGAAGCGGTTGCTTCAGGCAACATACTGCAGAAGGAGACCTCTTATTTTGCATTTATGTTCAGGGTGCATTGCTTAAATAAAGGAGCGCCGCTTCTAAGCATGGTGAGGTTGCAGTTCAATGTTTTCTGATCAAATGCAAAACAACAACAACATAAACACCCCTCTGTTTTCCTGCACGTTTCTTAGATATATTTCACCAGCGTTTATAGCATCTTTCCTGCATGTTGTGGAACATGCTGGAGGCAGAAATCCGAAATGACATTCCCCTTCCACTAATTGACTGGGGTGGGGCACAAAGCGTCTCGTTGAAGCGGGTTTAGAGTGCCATTTGAGATGAAAAGGAACTGCGCAGAGCTTGGGCAGGAGAAACGGTGCCTTATGGCTTACAATTCAGGGTTTCCCAAACTTGGGTCAGCAGCTGGGTGGTTGTTTTTTTGGGGGGGACTACAAATCCCATCATCCCCAGCTAGCAGGACCAGTGGTCAGGGATGATGGGAAATGTAGTCCAAAAACTGCTGGAGACCCAAGTTTGGGAAACCCTGTGTCAAGGACTGGGTAGAGGAGGAATGGTGGAGACCACCTCCCCAGCCTGACCCTTCCGGAGAAGAAGGAGACAGTTCAGAATTACAACAGGAGTTTGAGGGAGATCATAGTTCAGAGGCAGATGAGGGGGGAAAGCTGGGAAATGATGGGAGAGGAGGAGGAAGAAGAAGACGACGACTAGGGGAGAGACAGCTGACAGACTCAGTGTCTTTAGAAAGCATTCCAGACACACACACACCTGAACCCAGTGGGCATTGAAAGTAGGAGAGCAGAGAGCTCAGAGGCAGAAGGCACAGCTCAGCCACTGTAGGGATGACACATAGCAGGAGAGACGGAGGGGGTGGGGTTTCACTCAGAGCAACACCATTACTTCAAGAGGCTGCATCTCTGTGACGATTGAATAAACAACATCGGTGGTGAGAACTTTCCTTGTCTTATTGTTTTGTGGCAACCTACCGTAGGGGGTTGGATCCTCTGACACCTGACACCTTGGAGCCTTTGATGATCTGATTGTCTTTCTTCAGTTGCAACAGGTTTAATGGAACCCCAAATTTGCCACCTGAAGCGGCCACTTCATGTCATCTCCTGGGAGGGCTGGCTCCGTTTTGAGATGCTCCAGGACTAGGGCATGGTTGGAACAGAAAACAATAGTCCTGTGAGTGCAGGCAGAATGGCCTCCGAGGTCACGCTTCCAACACTCCGATTTATTGCCCGCTTGGCGAGTGCAATGCTCACCTGGTCAGTTTCTCACCCTGCCTTCCCTCCCCTTCTTCTTTTCTTTAAAACAGGGTTGAGGAACTTTTCATATTGGCTTCTGAGCAACCTTCCGTGGTGGGTGGGGCCAGAGGCAGAAGCGGGCAGGGAACAATATAAGGCAGATCTTGGGGCCTGAACTAACTTTTGCAGGAGGCGAGTCTGAGGATCTGAGGCAGGATCTGGTGACAAGAGATGAAGTTCTAGGTCTAACAGAAAAATAATAAAAAACAGACATTGATTGGGTCTAGAGGGCATCCACCCAAGAGTGGATGGAAAGTTGCCAATGTAACACCATTTTTTAAAAAAGAGATCCAGGGGCAACCCTGGAAATCAACCTCTCTCCCAGGAGAACTGGGGGAAAGTATTGTTAAAATAACCAAGCAGAGCCAGGCAGCATGGCTTCTGCAATGGCAGGCCCTGTCTCACAAACTGGTTACCGTATATACTCAAGTATAAGCCAACTTTTCCAGCACATTTTTTATGTGGAAAAAGCCCCCCTCGGCTTATACTTGAGTGAGGCAGGTGGCGGCGGTGGAGGGACAAGCGGCCCGAAAGGAGCCCTTTCTTGCCGCTGGTCCATCCGCCGCCACTCGCCTCTCGCAAGGGCAGGCACAGGAGCTGTGGTTGGGAGAGACACTGCGCTTTTGGGCTGTTTGTTCTTCCTCCACCGCTGCCGCCACCACCAGGTTTATACTCGAGTCAATAAGTTTCCCCAGTTTTTGTGCTAAAATTAGGTGCCTCAGCTTATATTCGGGTTGGCTTATACTCGAGTATATATGGTAGTTATTTGAGAATGTCAACAAGCATGTAGCTAGAGATGATCCAGTTGACATAGTATACTTGGACTTTGACAAGGTAAATAAGCTTAGGAGTCATGGAATAAGAGGAGAGAGCCTACCATGGATCAAGAGTTGATTAAGTAGCAGAAAGCAGTAATAAAAAGGCATTTCTCCAAATGGAGAGATGTAGAAAATGAGTCCTTCAAGAGCTGATATTGGGACCTGCACTATTTAACTGGACCGTAAACGATATAGATGCAAAGGGGAGTGGTGGCCAAGTTTGCTGGCGATACTAAATGATTCGGGGTTGATAAAGCAAACAGAGATGATGAAGAACTCTAAAAAACCCTCACCAAACTAAGTGAACAGGTGGTGACATGGAAAAAGCAATTGAATGTAAGCAAGTAGAAAGTGGTGTGTGCTAGCACAAAAAAATAATAATATTATTTTCACATATATGCTTAGGGTGAACTGGTGGTGGCTTACCATCAGATATCGAGGTCATAGTGGGCAGTGTAATGAAGATGTCAACCCAGTGTGTGGCTGATGTGAAATGGGCAATTTCCATGCTAGGGATTATTAGGGAAGGAACTGAAAATACAACTGCAGATCTCATTATGCTGTTGTACAAATCTATGTTGTGACTGCATTTGGAAGACCGTGTACACTTCTGGCGGGCTCGCCTCAAAAATGATATTGCAGAGCTGAAAAACGTTCAGGGACCCCCAACCATTATTGGACCATTAGGTCCAGCCGCGGACGACTCTGGGGTTGCAGCACTCATCTCGCTTTATTGGCCGAGGGAGCCAGCATATAGCTTCCGGGTCATGTGGCCAGCATGACTAAGCCACTTCTGGCGAACCAGAGCAGTGAATGGAAACGGCGTTTACCTTCCCGCCGGAGCGGTACCTATTTATCTACTTGCACTTTGACGTGCTTTCAAACTGCTAGGTGGGCAGGAGCAGGGACTGAGCAACAGGAGCTCACCCCATAGCAGGGATTCGAACCGCCGACCTTCTGATCAGCAAGCCCTAGGCTCTGTGGTTTAGACCACAGTGCCACCCATGGCAGTAAATAAGAAGAGATCAAACGAAAGGAACATCTTACCAGTTAGATTCTTTAATAATTACAGTGAGAGACAAAAGAACCCGTCTACCTAGAATGGCGGTGCTCCCAATTAAGGGTTACACCCCTCCGTCCCTGTTAATCTATGTCACTCCTACGTCTTGTAATATGAGCTTGTACCCTCTACGCTTTCTGTTCTGAGACTTTCTGAGCTCTTCTCGACTTGGGGAGGGTGCTGGAGGAATGCTGTCCAAGGACTGTGAATCTGTAAACCCTCTCTCTTCTGCTGTGTCTTCTCCTAGCTGTTCCCCATCCAGTATTTCCCAGCTTCTGCCTTCTGAACTATGTCCCTCTGCAAACCACTGTTCCAAATCTATACTGTCCTCCTGCTCCAGGGAAGATTCAGGGTCAGGGGAGGGTCCCTGACAGGAGGGGAGAGTGCTCTTGTGCTCAGGTCCTGCTTGCAGGTTCCTGCAGGCATTTGGTTGGCCACTGTGAGAACAGGAAGCTCAACTAGGTACACCACTGACCTGATCCAGCAGGCTCTTCTTGTACACAATAAGCTCGTTTCATGCACACTCACACGCCCCACACTCTATCCTCCATCCAGCAAAGCAGGGGACGTTGGGGGCAGAGTTCAAAGACACATCCCCAAAACACTCAAGGAGGGTGCGAAGCAGAACTAGCGAGGGGTGTGAGAGGGGAAGTTGCTAAGGAGTGATTTCAGATTGAGAAGAATCTAAGGGCCAGATAATAATAATATTTTAAATAATTTTATTATTTATACTCTGCCAGTCTGGCAGGGTTGCCCCAGCCACTCGGAGGTGGAGTGTGGGTGTTTGCAACACATAAAAACATAACAAAACATCAAACATTAAAAACTTCCTGATACAATGTTACCTCTGGTTGCGAACGGGATGCGTTCCGGAGGCCCGTTCGCAACATGAAAAGAACACAACCCGCAGTGGCGCGTCTGTGCTCGCGCGGGTTGTGATTTGTCGCTTCTGCGCGTGATGTCATTTTGCGCATCTGCGCATGTGCGAGTGGCGAAACCTGGAAGTAACCCTTTCCAGTACTTCTGGGTCACTGTGGGACGCAACCTAAAAAAACATAACATGAAGCAAACATAACATGAGGTATGACTGTACAGGGCCGCCTTCAGATGTCTTTGGAAAGTCAGATAGTTGTTTATTTCCTTGACATCGGATGGGAGGGTGTTTCACAGGCACCACTGCTGAGAAGGCCCTTTGTCTGGTTCCCTGTAACGTCACTTCTCGCACGGAGGGAAACGCCAGAAGGCCCTTGGAGCTGGGTATCAGGTTCTGGGCTGAACGATGGGGATGGAGACGCTCCTTCAGGTATACTGGACCGAGCCCGTTTAGGGTTTTAAAGGTCAGCACCAACACTTTGAACTGTGCTCAGAAACGTACTGGGAACCAATGTAGGTCTTTCAGGACCGGTGTTATATGGTCTCCGCGGCTGGTCCCAGTTACCAGTCTGGCAGCCACATTCTGGATTAGTTGTAGTTTCCGAGTCACCTTCAAAGGTAGCCCCATGTAGAGCGTACTGCAGTAGGGGGACACATTCACCCCCAAGTGCCCCTTCCCCACTCTACCAGGTGGCTGCCAATGCAACCCTCTGACTTCCACTCTTCCAAAGGAACTTTGGGAAAGCTGCCAGGGCGTGCCCGATGCGAATCTCCCCCCCACCTTCGGAAGAAATCAAAGCCAGGTCTATAAAATGAAGGAATGGAATCAGGAATGCAATGAAACCAATTCATGTTCTCCCCTGTCAGTTCAGCTCTTGCTGGGAGCCTGAAAACGGGCGGCGCCCTGGTGCCACCGTTGTGCGTGCGCCTTTTTCCCCGAAAGCCACCCAGCCAGTGGGCTGAGCGCGCCGCTCGTTTTAATAGTAATGAGGGGGAAGCGGGGCGGAGCTTCCCAGTTACAGAAAGCAGGTGCTGCCCGGGCTGCAGCTCAGTCGCTCGCTTCCTACAGGGGACGCCGCCGCCGCGGTATCTGCATCGCGCTCCCTTCTCTCGACCTGAGACGCGCGCGCGCGATCCGCCCGAGGAGTACCGGGAAGGGGATGTGGAATAAGCCTCCCGCCTGGCCCCCGCTGCGCTCCGCTTTCCTCCAGCTCTGACGGTCATGGAGAAGAAGGCGAAGAGGCTGGCGCTCCTGCTGGGATCGCTGCTGCTTCTTTCCGGGGTGAGTGGGTTCGCCCTGTGGATCAACCCAGGGGTGGGGTGGGGTGTGGAAGAGGCTCGGCGACTCACTCCCATCTTTAGAGGGCAGGGATGGGGAGAAGATCGCAGATGACAGTGCGCACGGATCGTGGCGAGGGTTGAGACGGGGGCGTCGATCGGATCTGCCACCCATGGGTGCTTGTGTGTGTGTGTGTGTGTCCAGTCTGGAGTGCAGAGATTGGGGCGGGTGGTAGCGGTTCTGCTTCGGGTCCGCTGGACACCAGGGTGCTCTGTCTCCGACACAGGAGCCAACTCCTTAGGACCAAGGTCCCTTCACCCTCCACCCCCAAAAAAAAATATTTGAGGGGGCCAAGCCCCCCGACAGTTGATGAATACTGCCATTCAAATAGTGTGTGCGCACTATGTCATGTGATCAATAATTACCTCCCCACACCAGTGTTTAATTAAAGTTGGCACCCCTAGCCACTGGGGTTAAGTTTCTCTTTTTTGGGGGGTGGATCTGCTGGGAGGCGCCCACCCGTCGGTTCGGTCCCTAGGAAGGGTTGGTGGGGGGTTGCTAATCAGCTGGGAAGGAACTTTTGCGCGCGTCCAACCCGATAACGGGCTGCTGCCCTCTGCGCACTTCCTCGCGAGTAATGCTTCGATCCCGGGTCTCTGGCGCCCACGGAGTTCCAGAGGAGGCGCGGCGAGGATCGCGCTGTGAAGTCAGGGAGAGTGGCTTTCTCTGCGTAGACGCGTGCAGAGGATCCGGGTGGATACGCAGGGTAGGGCAGCGCCGGGCTCCCTGGCCCCACCCTAACCACACCCCACGTCGGTTTGTTGGAAACCCCCCAAACAGAGATTTGCCTGCTGGAGGAGAACATTTGGGGCGACTATGAGAGTCGCGGGAGTGGAGGGGTGGGGGCAGAAGAAGAGGATGAAAAGTCCTATTCTGACGTTTCAAAAGGGGGGCGGCGACGGCGAGGATGCGATCTATCAATTACAGTGTCCGGAATGATAGATCTTGTTTTATATTGTTCTCTCCGGAACGTGTGAAATGGTTTTGTGCGCGCAGGGGGCGCGGCAGGGAAACGAAAAAGAGCGGCTCCGAGGATGTGCTGAGGGAGAGAGAGAGAGAGAGAGAGAGAGAGAGAGAGAGTTTGAGGCACGGTTCCGCCTTTTATGAGACGTCTAAGGAGCTCTGACTAGATTCCAGTTGGGGTGATAAAACGAGGAAGCACGTCTGCGTGCTCGAAAGTGCTTCCAAGAAATCATAGCGACAAATGTAAGCATCTCGCTGCGCTTTCCCTGCCTCTGGAGACCCCTCTGTCACCTCAAACCTCGGTGATAATGATGATTGTGTGCGATCAAAGATGGGCATCCTTTGTCCAGAAGCAGGAAGGTGCCCTGGACCAAAACTGCAAGGGGGATAACAAATCCTTACCCACCCTCCCTCCAAAGAGCTGCCAGGGTCATTTCAGTCGCGCAACAACCTTATCAGGTAGGGAAGGCTGAGAGATAAAGCCTTGCGCAAGGATATCCGCCTCTCGTAACACATTAATAATAACAGTAGCCCTGAGGTTGATTTTACATTGGGACCACCGCCGTCCTGTTTCCCTGAATCCTCTCCTTCAGTTTGGGGTGTAGTTCTGCACAGGCTGGGTGTCCGACTGTCTGCCAAGCACGATCCCTACATTGGGTTGGGCTCGATGACCTCTGAGGTCCCCAACCCATCTCTAAAATACAGTGGTACCTCGGGTTAAGTACTTAACTCGTTCCGGAGATCTGTCCTTAACCTGAAGCACCACTTTAGCTAATGGGGCCTCCTGCTGCCGCCGCGCCGCCGGAGCACGATTTCTGTTCTCATCCTGAAGCAAAGTTCTTAACCCGAGGTACTATTTCTGGGTTAGTGGAGTCTGTAACCTGAAGCCTATGTAACCTGAAGCGTATGTAACCCGAGGTACCACTGTACTATGATTCTCTCACCCTCCAGCTGCTGTTTGCCCCAGGAGGCTAAACACGGTGGGAAATGCAGGATATCTGCTATTCTTTACTCCACGGGGAAAACGACAACTTCCACTCCCAAGCCCATCCACCAACCTTCCCTGTTATTACTTTTAAAAAAACAAAAAACCCAACTATAGGAAGAGTGATCCTATTCCCGGATCTCCCGTGTCGCACCAGTGTTAGCCTGTAGGCAAGGAAGCTAAGTTACCGAGGTCCCCTCAAAGCCAAATCACATACATTGATTAGAAAACGCATCGGCTTTTAAGCTTCGAGTGGTCATTTCTGCCTGCAGCCCTTCGGTTAGTGTGGATGAAAAACGGCAGGGAGCTGGCGTGAGAGAGAGGAGGGAGAAAGATCACAGAAGGATGAGGGACGGTTTTAAAAATTAGTATTATTTTGCAGAGGGGAGATTTAGGATGAGTAGCCAGACGGAGGGAGAGGCTCGCTGGTTTAGAGGGTTTGGTTGCAATAGGGACTTAGGAAGCTGCCTGCCTTATCCCCAGTCAGACCCATTGGACCGTCTAGCTTAGTACTGTCGACACTGGCTGGCAGCAGCTCCCCAGGGTTTCTGACAGGGGACATTCCCACCTATATCTGGAGATGCCAGGGATCCAATTTCCTGCATGCAGAGCTGAAGTTCTACCCCAGAGCTCCAACCCTCTCAAATCGTATAGTGTTTAGCTTGCAAAATGGGGTGGAGGGAAGCTGGACAGACGTGGATTTTGGATCTCAAGGTCCGTGTTTTCCACAAACCTCAAATCTGTGCCCGTAACTCTTTGAGTATGCAAGGTGGAGATCAGGTTCTTCAGTGAAGAAGGAGCCCTGCATACGCTCAGAGGCAAATCTTTGCTTTATTGCCTTGCTCATTTCTGGACAGGAAACAGTTAATAATAATAATGTCTAGGGTTGAATCGCATTAGCCCTTAGCAGAAAAGGAGACAGTGGACGACTAGTGCAGTAAAAGGCTAATATCTTAGGGGGTGTGGGTTTGGCATGTTGAACTTTGGGGGTGATGGACATTTAAGGTTGGTGGCTGACTGGGAGAGGCAGATGGCAGGACTGTAAGACATAAATTAGGAGGCTTGGCACCACGGCAGAGGCTGAAACAGGGACCATGGGGGCATCCTAGTATAGCATTTTTCTTGACTCTGCACCCACTGGCTTAATTTGAAACAAGAACCAGCTCTGCAACCCATTTTTAATCAGTGCTTGGGCTCCCCCACTATTTTGCCCTGGAACAGAAATCAATGTGCACCAACCCCCTGACCTTTGCAGTCTGAGTATAAAACACAAACATATACAGACGATTAGAATCCCCAGACTGAATTAGAACGCCAGCAAGGAATATCACCAAAGTAAACCAAAACACCAGCAGTTGCCATTTTTGCACAAAACACAAATGCAAGAAATTATGCCAAGCGGGTGAAATTAGCAAAATGAATGAGACTTTAAGAATGATGCAGTTGAGGAGATAACACACCCCAGAGTGCCTCTGAGCATGTGAAAAGAAACGGCAGCTTTATACATGCCACCACTTAATCCAGGCATAGGCAAACTTGGCCCTCCAGGTGTTTTGGGACTACAACTCCCATCATCCCTAGCTAACAGGTCAGGGATGATGGGAGTTGTAGTCCCAAAACATCTGGAGGGCTGAGTTTGCCTATGCCTGACTTCATCTCATCCTGGCCTAAACAGGAAGAACTTCCAAGGAACATGATTAGAAGGTAGGAAGGAAGGAATAAGACACTGCTGAGATGTCAGTGCACAGGCACTGCCAGTGGCGTAGCGTGGGGGGTGCAGGGGGGGCCGGCCGCACCGGCCGCAACTTCTGGGGGTTAGGGTTAGGGGGCGCAAATCCATGGGTTAGGGGGCGCAAATTACTTGCCTTGCCCCGGGTGCTGACAACCCACGCTACGCCACTGGGCACTGCACAGCGAAAAAGGAAAAAGAAGTAGATTTCAGCCCCAAAGAGCTTACAGACCTATGGAAGGAGATCAGAGGGCAGGGAGGCATGGAAGAGGCAGGAGTAGACTCATAGAATTGTAGGCTTGGAAGGGAGCAATATGCAGCTGCCCCATACGGGGATCGAACCTGCAATCTTGGCAGGCTTGTCTAGGAAGGACCATAGATGCAGAAATGCAGTCGACACACACTTTTGAGCCTGGGGGTACAGATTTGGTGCATGGGGATTGTGGGAAAGGAGTTTGGGTTTATTATCCTTGGAGGAGGGAACTGAAGGAGAAGAGGGAGGTGGCGCTCTGAAGGTATTATGGGTGAAGGTCCCAGGCATGACAGTTACAAAGGCAGAGAGTGTGCGAGTTTCCTGTTTTGCTTAAACCCTGGAATCTCTGGGATGTTTGAAAAAAACGAGTTAAGCATCGGCTACACAGCTTCTCCTCGTCTTTCCCCCAGGCTGTGGACAGCTGAGTACAATCCGTTTCTTTCAGTGCTGGGTCTACGAGATGCCGTCCCTTTCCCCTAGATGTAGGAATAGGCGCTGTGTGTGTTGAGGGACACACCTTCTGCAGCTTAGAAGGCTGCAAAAGCCAGGGAGAACGATCCCAGGACTTAAAATAAATGCAATTAAAAAAGAAAGGAAGTTGCGCAACATGTTTGTTCGCAAGTAAGCTTTGCTTAATTTAGGAGGCGGAGGAAGGGGTGTCGGTGAAGCCTAACATGCCTTTCCAGATTCGCCCTCATGCCAGAGGGGGCCAGGGATGATATGTGAAGAAGAAGAAGAAGAAGAAGAAGAAGAAGAAGAAGAAGAAAAGAAGAAGAAGAAGAAGAAGAAGAAGAAGAAGAAGAAGAAGAAGAAGAAGAAGAAGGGAAAATCAGAGGGGAAATGAAAGGATGGCTGTTATTGGATCATGTGTTTAGTTTAGGGTTCTTCCCCCCCCCCCCAAAAAAAAAATGATGGGCAAACTTTAGAGCTACACAGAATGCTTCCCCCACAAGGCTGTTCATGAAAAAGTAAAGAAGAGGCTTGCAGAGGATGGTGTCTTATGAGGTCCTCAAGACTACCCTGTTTCACTGAGAATCCATACTGGGGTCTTTGCACAAGGCTTATGCAGAGATTAGGGATGGCGAGACCTCACCATTTCTTCTCTCTCGGTTTCTTACTTTTCCAATCTTAAATTCGCTCCTCTGCATTTTGCAGTAATTTGTGACTGTTTATTATTATTATTAAAGAAATCCTGATGAAAAAACACCAGCGTTTTATTGTGAATCTCTCCCAATAAACACATTTTTAAAAAGCAGGTTTGACGAATATACACATTTTTGCGTGCAATTCCTCCTAATAAATGCATTTTTTTGGTATGTTGTTTTCACTACGTCTCCATCCTTATGCACACTTTTATGTCATATATGCATTTTGGGAAATACTGTTTGATTGCAGAACTGCATTGCAAAATTCAGATGTGTGCGGATTTTGAAGGATGGTGCCACCCCCATTCTCGTATTGTTTCAGAAACTGCAGATTTGATGGATCAACTTTAAACGTGAGCTGCATGGAGTTTCTCCTCCCTCCCTTGTGGAGGTTAGTCTGTGTCTGGTCTTACTGAGCATCCATCCTGATCTGCTTGCAGAGTAAACCTTCCTCTGCATCTTTTGTCCCACCCCCACCCCCACTCTTCCCAGAGCACTTCCTTCTGGCTTCCTAACCACAAAAAGCCCATTTTTCTTTTTTTAAAAAATGGGTTCGTTGTGCTAGGGCAGCAGATGGCTTTTGTCCACTCCATGCAAACCTAAATATCCCTGCATGCATGGTGGGTTTGCATCGTAGCAGTCTGGAGGTGCCCTGTGACAGCTTAGCAGGGATTGTGGGGGGACGGGGAAAGGAGAAAGAAATTGCATGCTAATGACAACCTCTCCCACACACTAATTTGGCATCTAGGGATGTCCCTGACTCTGTGGGAGGGGCCACAGTCCAATGGCAGGCCACATGCAGTTTCCCATAGACAGTCCCAAGGCTGAGTCCCAGCCTAGGAATCTCCAGTGGAAAAGGGTCATCTAGCAGCTCATGGGAAAGACCCTGGAGTGAGACCCTGGAGAGCAGATGAGGAGGAGAAATAGAAATCATAGAATCACAAAATTGTAGACCTGAGGGTCATCAACCGCCTGCAAGGCAGGAATATGCAGCTGTCCCACCCGGGGATTGAACCTGCAACCTTGGCGTTATCAGTGCCACGCTCTAACCGACTGAAATACTCTGAGCCTGCTTCAAGGCACAGGTCCTGTTTGCAACGTTCGCCAAATTAAAGGCGACGCACCTCAAACGACCCTACTTTTTCTAAGAAAGGAACAAGGATTTGGGGGGTAGGGAAGTACTTCAGACCAGGTTCCATGGAGCAGGCATGGAGAAAAGAAGAAGAAGAAGAGGAGGAGGAGGAGGAAAAAGAGGAGGAGGAGCATGGGTGTTATTATTATTAACAATAATAATAATAGCGCCGTCCGTTAATAGTTTGGGTGTAATCTTTGACACCTCCCTTTCTATGGAGGCGCAGGTTGTAGCCATAACAAAGGCGGCATTTTTCATCTCCGCCAAGCTAAGTAGTTGGCTTCCTACCTCTCTTGCCCTCACCTAGCCACTGTGATCCATGTGACGGTCACCTCCAGGCTTGATTATTGTAACTCACTCTACGTGGGGCTGCCCTTGAGACTGACCCAGAAACTCCAGCAGGTGCAGAATGCCATGGCGAGACTCCTTATGGGGTCCTCACCATGGGATCACATTCGTCCGGTGCTATACCAACTGCACTGGCTCCAGGTGGAGTACAGGATCAGGTTTAAGGTGCTGGTTTTAACCTTTAAAGCCCTATTCGGCCTAGGACCCTCATACCTACAGGACCCCCTCTCCTGGTATGTCCCACGGAGGACCTTATAGTCTTCAAATAAAAACATCTTGGAGATCCTGGGCCGCAGGAAGGTTAGGCTGGCCTCGACCAGAGCCAGGGCTTTTTCAGCCGTGGCCCCGATCTGGTGGAACGCTCTGTCACAAGAGACTAGGGCCCTGAGGGACTTGACATCTTTCTGCAGGGCCTGCAAGATGGAGCTGTTCCACCAGGCCTTTGGCCAGGGCACAGTCTGACCCCCTTTCTCCTTCTGTAATCCTCATAGAACTCTAGCCCAATGGTTGCCATTAATTTGATTCTGAATTGTTTTTAGAATGTATTTTAATTGACTGTGTGATTTTATGTACACTGTGCTATTTTTACTTGTTGTTAGCCACTGTGAGCCCAGCTTTGGCCACTTGCTTATTAGTACAGCTTAGCTATTGTGTATACAGGTAAGCAGGGTGCCCATTTGCTGGGCATTACATGCAACTAATTTTGCGAGCGTGCAGATCAACCCAGGTATACAGGTGTACAGGGATTGTACACTTGTTGAATCTAATGTGTGAACATCCCTATTGTTGGTGTTTTAAGAAATGTTGGATGAGAGGTGTGCTCCAGCACCAGAGAGGGTGTGTGTAAATTGTGGGGGGAGGGCGGAGAGTATTTATGGTGCAGTGGGCAAGATTGTTATCCGACCTTATTGGTGCGGGCCAACTTTGACTGGTGCATGGTCCTGCCCACCTGCCCATCCCATCACCCAATGTCATTGTGATGCTGGATGATTGAAAGTCAGGTCATCCTGCCCACCTCTCAGCACCAATCATAGGGCTGGACAAAGCTGCTTTCTGCAGGGATTGGCTGCTCCACTGCTGACATCACATATGACATCAGGTGTCGGGCAAGTGGGTGTGGTTTGGGGAAATAGCTTTGGGACCCACACCAAGCCGAAGGTGGTGGACTCTCCTTCCTTGGAAGGTGGTAAACAGAGGTTGGATAGCCATCTGTCATGGATGCTTTAGTTGAGGTTCCTGCACTGCAGGGGGTTGAAGACCCTCAAGATGTCCCTTCCAACTCTACAATTCTAGACTGGTGCCAGTGTGGTGTGGTGGTTAGGAGCGGTAGTCTTGTAATCTGGTGAACCGGGTTCGAGTCTCCGCTCCTCCACATGCAGCTGCTGAGTGACCTTGGGCCAGTCACACTTCTCTGAAGTCTCTCAGCCCCACTCACCCCACAGAGTGTTTGTTGTGGGGGAGGAAGGGAAAGGAGAATGTTAGCCGCTTTGAGACTCCTTAGGGTAGTGATAAAGCGGGGTATCAAATCCAAACGCTTCTTCTTCTGGTGACTGGGAGCGGCCGCCGAGAACATGTAACACCGGTCCTGAAAGACCTACATTGGCTCCCAGTATGTTTCTGAGCACAATTCAAAGTGTTGGTGCCGACCTTTAAAGCCCTAAATGGCCTCGGCCCAGTATACCTGAAGGAGCCACCACCAAGAAGGCCTTCTGCCTGGTTCCCTGTAACCTCACTTCTTGCAGGGAGGGAACTGCCAGAAGGCCCTCGGAGCTGGACCTCTGTGTCCGGGCTGAACGATGGGGGTGGAGATGCTCCTTCAGGTATACTGGACCGAGGCCTTCTAGGGCTTTAAAGGTCAGCAGCAACACCTTGAATTGTGCTCAGAAACATACTGGGAGCCAATGTAGGTCTTTCAGGACTGGTTATATGGTATCGGCAATTTATGCACTGCCTTTTTAAAAAGGAAAAGCAGTTTAAAAACTCTATCCACTGTACGACAGTGTCCCCGATATGCAAGGTGAGTCTGCCTATCTGCTCGCTAGGCTGTGCTCCATCTTCCCTCAGTTTTGGACCACGGAGGACGAGCTTTGTTTGACAAGACCGAGGCGGCAACAGACACAGCTCCTGGCGCCCCCTGACACCTCTGGTTTAATTTATGGCACCTCCGAGGCTAATTGATGTATTGTGGCCAGAGCTGTCACAGGCAAAAGCTTCCCTTCATCTGAAGCACAGGGCTGAGAGGGTGCTGGATGTATAATTCACAGGGCCTGCGGTGCAAGGGAGATGAAGTGATTAGCGGGATGAGACCCAGTGGAGGCAGAGAAAGAGAAGTGCGACTCATTAGCCAGAGTGCTAAAAGCCACAGAAGTATAACTTAAGTATTCTCCTGAGCACGCAAGGACACAGATTTGCATGAAATTCGCCTTTTCATTTTATTTCATTAATACCCCATCTTTCCTCAAGTGAGCTCAAGGCAGCAAGCATGGCTATCCCGCTTCCTTGTTTTGTGTGTGTTTTAATATTTTGTTGGAAGCTGCCCAGTCCGATGGGCAACATATCCTCCTCCTCCTCATCATTACCCCCTACAAATATGATCCTCAGAACAACCCTGTGAGGTAGATCAGGCTGAGAGACAGTAACTGGCCCAAGGTCACCCAGTGAGCTTCATGGGCGAGTGGGGATTGGAACCCTGGTCTCCCAGGTCCTTGTCCCAACTCTCTAACCCAGGGGTAGCAACCTAAGGCCCAGGGGCTGGATCCGGCCCAATTGCCTTCTCAATCTGGCCTGTGGATGGTCCGGGAATCAGTGTGTGTTTTCATGAGTATAGGTAAAGGTAAAGGGACCCCTGACCATTAGGTCCAGTCGTGGCCGACTCTGGGGTTGCGGTGCTCATCTCGCTTTATTGGCTGAGGGAGCCGGCGTACAGCTTCTGGGTCATGTGGCCAGCATGACTAAGCCGCTCCTGGTGAACCAGAGCAGCACACGGAAACGCCGTTCACCTTCCCGCCGGAGCGGTACCTATTTATCTACTTGCACTTTGACGTGCTTTCGAACGGCTAGGTTGGCAGGAGCAGGGACTGAGCAACGGGAGCTCACCCCATTGTGGGGATTCAAACCGCCGACCTTCTGATCAGCAAGTCCTAGGCTCTGTGGTTTAACCCACAGTGCCACCCACGTCCCCCATGAGTAGAATGTGTCTTTTTATTTAAACTGCATCTCTGGGTTATTTGTGGGGTCTGCCTGGTGTTTTTAAATGTGTAGAATGTGCCCTTTTATTTAAAATGCATCTCTGGGTTATTTGTGGGGCAAAGGAATTTGTTCATCCCCCCCCCAAAAAAAATATTCCGGCCCACCACATGGTCTGAGGGATGGTGGACTGGCCCCTTGCTACAAAAGGTTGCTGACCCCTGCTCTAACCTCTACACTTCACCAACTATGCACAGATGGATATTTGGAGCATGGTACTGATAACACCAAGGTTCAATCCCCACATGCGACAGCTGCATATTCCTGCATTGAAGGGGGTTGGACTAGATGATCCTCGGGTCCCTTCCAACCCTATGATTCTATGATACAGTGTCTCTAGTATTACCGTCATTTAAATAAATGCATCTCAACATAGTGAAGAAAGCCTGAGACCGGGTGACCTGTCTGCTTGCCTGCTCAGTCTGCTTCAAGACCCCTGTTGTTCTTGACTTTTCTTTTCTTTTTATAAATTTTCAAAATAACCTTTATTATACAGTGGTACCTCAGGGTAAGAACTTAATTTGTTCTGAAGGTCCGTTCTTAGCCTGAAACTGTTCTTAACCTGAGGTACCACTTTAGGTAATGGGGCCTCCCGCTGCCGCCACCGCATGATTTCTGTTCTCATCCTGAAGGAAAGTTCTTAACCCGAGGTATTATTTCTGGCTTAGCGGAGTCTGTAACCTGAAGTGTCTGTAACCTGAGGTACCACTGTACATCAATTAACATTACTTTACATAAAACTTAGACAGTACATACAATACAAACAACACTCATTCCATCCATTACAACTTAAACACACCTTAGACACTAACTTCCGATTCTTCTCATTGTACTGTTTTGTTATCCTGTACACAGTTCATTATTGTTTTTTCGTTTCTCCATTTCTTATCAAGACTCTTCTATTGTACACTGTCTTTATGTTTCAAGATTCATTCTAGATCTGCAAGGAGTTACCGTTATCACAATAGTTTTTAAGATATTCTTTAAACATTATCCACTATTTATTAAATTTCTGTATCGACTTTCCTCTTAACGTCCCTGTCATCTTTCCGAGTTGTAAATATTCTATCATTTTTGCTTGCCAGTCAGTTTTTGTGGGGGTGTTATCACTTTTCCAATTCTTTGCTATCAAAATCCTAGCTGCTGTGGTCGCGTACATGAATAGAGGTCTATGATTTTTCTTAATTTCCATGGACATTATTCCTAATAGGAAGGCCTCAGGTTTTTTGATGAATAAGAATTTGAATATCTTTTTAAGTTCTTTATATATGGTGTCCCAAAATTCTCTTAAAGGTAAAGGGACCCCTGACCATTAGGTCCAGTCGTGACCGACTCTGGGGTTGCGGCGCTCATCTCGCTTTATTGGCCGAGGGAGCTGGCGTACAACTTCCGGGTCATGTGGCCAGCATGACTAAGCCACTTCTGGTGAACCAGAGCAGCGCACAGAAACGCCGTTTACCTTTCCGCCGGAGCGGTATCTATTTATCTACTTGCACTTTGACGTGCTTTGGAACTGCTAGGTTGGCAGGAGCAGGGACCGAGCAACGGGAGCCCACCCCGTCATGGGGATTTGAACTGCCGACCTTCTGATCGGCAAGTCCTAGGCTCTGTGGTTTAACCCACAGTGCCACCCACGCCCCTAAAATTCTCTTATTCTCTTACAATCCCCGCCACATGTGCATAAATGTACCAACCCCATTTTTACACCTCCAACAAACCTCTGAATTGTTTTTATACATTTTTGCCAATTTGGCTGGGCTTAGGTACCACCTTGTATAGCATCTTCATTACATTTTCTCTGAGACTGTAACAAGCAGTGAATCTAATATCCTCCTTCCTCAGCCTTTCCCGCTCGTTCATGTAAATATTGTGTCCGACACCTTGGGCCCACCGTTGTTCTTGACCTTTCAACTGGATTCTTGCAAAGAGAGAAGTGCCCTTTGTAAAGGACACATGCACACATGGCCACAACACAGAAATGCAGTAGCAGATTTTCCCAAATAGGACAAACACCCTAAATCTTTATCCCAAGCCTGAGAAATGCAATCAAACTGGGGAATGTGCTCCAGCTCTGCAGGTGTTCTTTTCCAACCGTCCTTGTGAATTTTTGTTGCTCAAGTAGAACGACCCTAAGGTCAGAAATCGCACGTCCAGGAAAAAACAGAACCTAAGTTACGAACACTTCCCCACCCCCCGATTTAGAGATCTTGAAAGGGGGCAGGAAATCACGGCCGGTTGTCATATCTGACTGAAGTGGCAGGGGAAAGAAAATAAAGAGATGACTCAATTGACAAGGAGTTAGTTACGGCCTTAGAAACACCCTCAATTTCCTATGTAGGGGGATAAAATCAAAGCCCTTCTCCCAGCCAGCCACCCTACATTGCAGCTGTTACTGGTACTTATTGTTTAGAGAAAAAGTTGAATAATTTGCCAAACAAATTATTCACTCCCGCTGCTGCTCAGCGATGGAGGCTGCTACGTCTGCCCATTTTACAGATGGGAAAAGGGAGGCTGGGAGGTGGTGATTTATCCACGGCCTCATGGCGACTCCATGGAAGAGGTGGGGCTTGATTTCCATGTCAAATAGTTCACATCACAGGCCAAACAGAGGAAGGGAGGGAGGGATTTATTGCGCTGAGGTTTATCGGACCGCAAGAAAATATTTGTGGCTTGTGAACAGGCAACTTTGTGCAACTTTTAAAAAAGTCGCTTTGAGTTTCAGTTTTTTGGGGGGAAATGAAATAAATAAAAATAATATCTACATGGTGGCCTTCAAAAAGGTGCAACTGTGATGATGGGAATTTGCAGTGACTGTGTATTATTTAGCCTCCAAGTTGCACATCTCTCTGTGTGTGCACAGTTTGGCTACATACAGTCCTACCAACATTTATGAAAGAAACCCCCTGGGTTCTCTAACTCTGGCTTATTTCTTCCTTGCAGCCAAAAGACCGCAGTTCCAACTCCTTTTCTGAGCATTCAAAGCCCAACCCCTTGTGCCCCTACAAATATGGATTGCTTCCCTCGAAACAGCACTTGCCTGGATATTACAATTGCTGGGTGGGATTTATGTAAGGCTTCCCTATGGAACGGCTTCTTGCAGTATGATTAGTCATCATGAGACACAGCCCTTCCTCCTCCACTCTCAATTGTTTTGTGATGCCCCTTAATTTATGTTCAAAAATATTCCCAGTTGCCTTGAAACTGCGAGAGCTGGTGTAACGTAGAGCATATTTGTTCAGAAATACAGTCAAACCTCGGCTCCTGAATGGTTCCGTTTTTGAACGATTCAGCTCCCGAACACCGAAGACCCGGAAGTAAACACTCTGATTTTCAAATGTTTTTCAGAAGCCGAACATCCGACGCGGCTTCCGCTTGAGTGCAGGAAGCTCTTGCAACCAATCGGAAACCGTGCCTCGGTTGTCAAACGTTTCGAAAGCCGAACAGGCTTCCAGAATGAATTATGTTCAACAACTGAGGTTTGACTGTAAGTCATGTTAAGAGGGAGTTTAGGCTGCACTTCTACATGCTGTGGCAAGTGGATGGAAACCTGTTTTAATCCAAGGACCACACTCCATACTGAGCAACCTCGCAAAGGCCTCCTGTGCCCAGGTGTGGGCGGGGCCAGAGGCAAAAGGTGGGCGGGGCAGCAGATATGATTCTGAGCCCCATACAGTAGGCAACAGTTGAGTCAGAGGTGTACACATGCGCGAACACACACACGACTCTGTCTTCCATCTTATTGCACTTCCTGCCAGGCAAAAGCAGATGTGGAACAGGGATGAAGAGAGGGGTGTGCTGGCGAGAGTCTCAGGCAGGGGTCAGCAACCTTTTTCAGCCGTGGGCCGGTCCACCATCCCTCAGACCATGTGGTGGGCCGGACTATATTTTGAAGGAAAAAGTGAACCAATTCCTATGCCTCACAAATAACCCAGAGATGCATTTTAAATAAAAGGACACATTCTACTCATGTAAAAACATGCTGATTCCCGGACCGTCAGCAGGCCGGATAGAGAAGACGATTGGACCTGATCCGGCCCCCAGGCCTTAGGTTGCCTACCCCTGGTCTCAGGGGTCAGAGAGGGAGGCATTTGCCTCCCACACCCCAGCCTAACCCTGGTTATCCATTCCTCCCCTGGGTGTAGCTCCCATTGAACTTGGCCAGGCTTACTTCTGAGCAGCCATGACTGCAGGCTCCCTGACCTATGGATCGGGTGGTCTGTTACTTGATTCTCACCTCTGTCAAAGACACACCTAGCAGCCTTCATCAATTCCCTCTCAGTTTCAGCTCCCCATCTGCGATATGGGCGTGTGATCAGGGTGGCCCGCACTACAGGATTGTCGTACCACTGCAGAAAATTATGTAAGCGAGCGTTGAAAGCACATTACATCAGGTAATGTTTGCAAAGTGCTTTTAGCACTCTGTTAAGTATATCTACACATGCCAAGTATTATTGCCATGCGCATTAAAACTCTGGGGGAGGAATGCACTCTGCTGTGGATTACTAAAGTGCTTATACAGGAGTCTTCATGTAGACATTTTTGTTTTAAATTGCAGCCTTAGCCTTTCCATTCCCCAACTCCCTTTTATTTTCCTTTCAAAGGAGGTGCACATCCCAGTTCCTTCTACAAATGTGCCTTCCTCTCTCCCTTTCATCTGTCTACCTCTCTGTCCACACAGATAATCTCAGACAGGCTGAAAAGGCACCTGGGCCTGCTTCAGTCGTCGGGTGGAAAGTGAAATATTTAGAAGTTAACCTGCAACATTCATAGGGGAAATTTGCCTATGTTCTCTGAGAGATAGCTAGCAGTGCAGTCGCAGGAGTGGAATTTGGGTTTTGACTTTTAAATGTAATTTCCGAACAGGGAGGGTGTGGGTTGCAGCTAAATCTTAGCCCTTCTCAGAGTAGACCCATTGCAGATAATGGAGGGGAATAACTTAGGTCCATTAATTTCACTGGGTCTCCTCTGAGTATAACTTTGCTAGATACAAACCTGTGCGTGCATGAGACGGTGAGTTAAGTATACAGTTTACTTTATTTTTATTTATATGTTAGATTCTTATACCGCCCCTTCATCACAAGATCTCCGGGTGGTTCACAAGATAAAAAAAATACCAGGTAAAAGAACAAATCAATAATTAAAACAAAACCAACAAAATAACAATTCCCACCCACACCTCCCATAGAGTTACCACATGCTTACTCAGAAGCAAGTCCTACTGAGTTTGTGAGATTTACTCCCACCCAGCAAAGTGTGTTTATCATTGCAACCTTCATTTCTAAAATAAGAAGGACCAGGCTTGAAGTCTAAAACCCAGTGACTGCTCCCTCTTCCCCCATTTATGTGTTGGCCCTGGCTGTGGGTGCTTAGGGATGGGCTGAGAAGCCTGTTGACATTCACAGCTTTCAAGACGGAGTTCTGGCACTGAAAACAACCAGACCAAGTTCAAGGTGTGTCCATTAGCATCTAAGGCCCAGCTTGGGACCATTTAACCTGCAAGATCGCCTTGCCTCAAATATGCCCACTCAACCACTTTAATCTACGACACTGTTTAATCTACTGCACTGTTACAGCTGCCACCTAATACTCATCCTGCGTGAGTAAGAAATCAGTATTTTAGTGTGGCAGCATCTGCACTTGGGAACTCCCTGCCACTTGACACCAGGCAGGTCCCTTCGCTATACCCTTTTTGGCGCCTGCTGAAAACATTTTTATTTAGGTCAACCAGAAATGTAGGGTGTTGACATGTGTTTTAATTGGGTTTTCAGTTTATAGTTATTAATATTTTTAAATCGTTGTTTTAAAGCTGATTTTTTATTGTTATTATTAAAATCATTATTATTAATTGTATACTATTTATATAATTATTATTAATTAATATATTATTTATATATTATTAAAATTATTATTTGATTTTCAAAAAGAAAGAAGAAACCAAACATACATCAAAAGATCATACAAAACCCACATATCGAGTTTGCTCTGAATCTCCTGACCCTCCCCTCCCTCCATCCCATCCATGCATATCAATACTTCTCCAATTTTATATCTTCCTAAGTTATCTGTACTTTCTGTTACCTTACAAGTGTGTTTAGAAACCTGCTAATATTTTGACCTGTTTGAAATAATTTTGTATATACATTATAAACATTTCCCATTCTTTTTTTTTAAAAAAAACTTGTCTTTTTTATTTTAAACCCCTAATCATTTAATTGTTTTATTCATTTTGTAAAGTGTGTTGAGGTTCGTTTTTGTTTTACAATTGAGCCGTATAGAAAATTCAGGAAATTAACTAACTAACTAACTAACTAGTTAGGAAGTGAAAAGATCCTGCTCTTAAACATGATTACTTTATTGGAAGTCAATAGCACTTTAAATCAACCAGGTTTCTCTTTGAGGAAACAGAGTCAGGTTGGGGCTCCTCTGTGTGAGCTCACACTTAGATTATTGTATTTTTTACTGCCTGGGTGGGGAAAGCTCCTTTGTGAGGGTTTTCTGCCTCAGGTACCACAATAGCTTGACTGGCCTTGGATACACTTTATACCATGATATAGAGGTGGCAGGATGGCAGGGGCACCACCTGCTTTTCTGCCTCAGGCGGCAAAATATTTTGGGCCAGCCCTGTTGGCCTAACCCCCCCCCCCATATAACCACCTCGAAGTGTAGAATGAAAGGTTTCTCTTCTCAGTTCATTGTATTTCTTTCCAAAGGAGAAGGAGGAGGAGGAAACCCCACTGGTCCAAACATGAGCCCGACTTAGAAAGCAATTAAAAGCTTGGCAAAGGTGTCTCTCCCCTCTCTCTCCTCGTTTTGTTCCACCTGTCAGAATGCTTTATGGGGTTAATACCTACGGCTTTGTCAACAGGAGTCGTGTTAATAGCAAGCACATTTGGATGGGCCTAATGCAGAACATGTGTCCTCCCCCGAGAGTGATAATCTGTGGGGAAGGGAGGTCCTGGACTCTTAGGGAAAACCCAAAGCTGAAGTGTGGGGCAGGATGCAATCCTGCTCCCAAAGAAAGCTGGTGGTGAAATGGATGTTACATTTTTTTACACGCTGTTGAGAAGTGGATTTTGTGTGTGTGTGTGTGTGTGTGTGAGAGAGAGAGAGAGAGAGAGAGAGACTGAAGAGGCAACGCTTACTCACTTTTTACCTTCCTTGCTTAAGAAGACCTTCTTTTATTTACACAGCCTGTTGCACTTCCAGGACTTAATTTCTGCCAGCGGGGAGCACTGGAACCTATTTTCAATGTGAGAGTCCAGCCCTGGAAAGCATTGAGGCATGCCTTTAATTTTTATTATTATTTGACAGGTGGAGATCTCTCTCTCTCTCCCCCTGATCTGAGAGAGAGAGAACCTGGTGCCATCCAATTGTTGTTGTACTCCAGATCCCATCGGCCCCAGCCATTGTGGCCAATGGTCAGGGATGATGGGAGTTGTGCTTAGGGATGGGTGAATCCACCAGTTCTGGTTTCTTGCAGTTTCTCATCTTTTCCAGTCATAAATCCAGCTCCCCACATTTCCATGTCAGTTTGTGATCCCCCACCCCCACTTAAGTCCTTGTGAAAATTCTTCAGCATTTTAAGGCAAATTTCTGATAAAATACAAGCTTGTGTGCAATTTTGCCTAATAGACACATGTTTGCACAGCTGTCTTTCCTTAAAACAATAACAATGCATGTCTGTATGTTATTTTCACTTATATGCCTTTTGATGCACATTTCCTTCCCCTCAATATCTGCATTTTTGTGGCTATTACTCGGTTAGATTGCAAAATTCGGGAAAAAGTGTGCGTTTTGAAAGATGGATGTGTCTTGGTTTGCACATTGTTTTGGAGAGTGCAAACCAAGCAGGTTTGCCTTTTAATGTGGACTGAACTGAATTCCTCTCCAGCCCCTAGCTGTAGTCCAACAGGATCTGGAGGACAGTAGCCTACCCACCCTTGATCTCATTGGCCTTTTCTCATAAAGAGATCCAAGATGGCAAACAGGATCATTTCATAGAAGTCAAGATAGAATTAACAAAAAAAGTATCAAAACAAATAAAGGACAGAGAACAGAGTTGGTGCTGAGCATGTGCAGAGTGTTCACTCCCTCATTGCTGAGCAACAGCAGCCTGGTCCAGTCTCCACACCCCACACACCTTGGTGGAGGAGCCTGAAAATCCTGCTTCAGGACCACCCTGGGCATAAAATGACCCCTTCCCTCGCTGGTCCTTAGTTGATCAAGCATGGTCAAGTTGACCATCCACCTGTGTTTTGTAGGCTGTATGTTTTGAAGAGAAGTCATGGGTCAGTGGTAGAGCACACACTTTGCCTGCAGAAGTTCTATGGTTCAACCCCTAGTACTTCCAGTTAGAAGGGTTCTTCCTTAAGTAACAGTGCTGGAAGAAACCCCTGCCTGAAACCTTGAGAAAGCTTTTGACAGAGTAGACTAGCCTACCCTTGATGTAGCTGGACTACAACTCCCAGCTCCCCTGACCATTAGCTGTGCTGTCTGGGGCTGATGGCTGTTGTAGTCCAAATATCTAGAGGGCACTGACTTGGGGATGACTGCATTAGACTATACTGTCAGACTCAGGATAAAACACCTTTCTGTATCAACACACCTGAGCTTAGGAGCAGAACGCCAGGGTCAAACGATATGACTTCCAAGCAGGCATAAACTTAGAAAGGAAGCACTGGAGAGCTCCAACAGAGGAGCTGAGCCTGGGCAGGGACTGTAGCCTAGTGCCCCTGCTTTTATTGACCAAAGAGGAACAGGTCTGCCATTACCACTACTCCATGTTTATCTAGCCTCAACAGCATGCTGGCTGCTCCTTTTTCAGGACTACTACTGAATCAGATCAATGTGTATAATGGGGCATACAGTTAGCAAGGAATAATGTAGCTTGAGAAATCAATTGGCTGTCAGGGCTCGTCCAGACTTCCTTTCATGCACATTTCCAGGTTTTAAAGTTCTGTACCTGAGCGGTTTTGTAAAAGAATCCTGGTGCTTTCCCCAGGAAAACCCACATTTTGCCACTGAAGTGGAGCAAATGGCAGTCAGATTTCCCGCAGATTGCCATTCGCACTGGTTTAGTGGTAGAGCGCAGCTTTTCCCGGGGAAAGAGCCGGAACAAAAAAACAAACCTGTCAGACACATAGCTTTAAAGTGCAGATCTGTGCCTGCAAAGGACAGGGTAAAAGGAAGCCTGGATGAACACTCAGTTTCAACACAAGGCCAATTATTAGCTAATTCCATCCCACCTGAAATTTCTGTTTCCCACCTGCCTAGCTGTATACAGTGCTTACTGTAGCCATTTCCCAAATTGTTAGTGTGCGGAGGGACTTTGCTGTGCCATGAGATTCCTCTTAGCAAGCTGCCGGGTAAAGAAATACTTAAGTAACTCTTAGTCCTGTCCTCCCCGAGCCCAAAACACCCATCCTGACTTCTGACTGGATCCTGGGATGTCCTGCTTTTTTGGTCCAGCGCTCCGGCACGAGTCAGCTGGTTTGCACCTTGAGTACTGAACCCAAGAGGGAAGCGGGTGGCGCTGTGGGTTAAACCACAGAGCCTAGGGCTTGCTGATCAGAAGGTCGGCGGTTCGAATCCCCACGACGGGGTGAGCTCCCGTTGCTCGGTCCCTGCTCCTGCCAACCTAGCAGTTTGAAAGCACGTCAAAGTGCAAGTAGATAAATAGGTACTGCTCTGGTGGGAAGGTAAACGGCGTTTCTGTGCGCTGCTCTGGTTTGCCAGAAGCGGCTTAGTCATGCTGGCCACATGACCTGGAAGCTGTACGCCGGCTCCCTCAGCCTATAAAGCGAGATGAGCACCACAACCCCAGAGTTGTCCGCGGCTGGACCTAATGGTCAGGGGTCCCTTTACCTTTATCTTTACTGAACCCAAAGATGCTAGAGGTTTTTTTTTAATCTCAAACTTTTATGCCAATCGGCTGGCCCCCACGAGAGTTCGGGACCGGAAAAATGAGCACCCCGATTTTGATCAATGGCATGTTGGAGGTCATGGAGTTCTAAGAGCGAGACCCTGGCCTGACAAGCCGCTGCGCTCCGAAAAAGGCAGCAAGCCAATATATAACTAAGCTTTAAAGCACCTGCTCTTCTCCCGAAAGAATTAACTCAGCTCTGCTGCAGACTTTACCTCTGCTCCACTCTAGAGGCTGCCTGCCTAACCACACAGCTCCTTGGACGTATTACTGCCTTGCTTGGAAAAGGGTAATATTTATTCGTAAGCTAACTGCTACTCCCGAGAGGCAGAAGATGCATCTAAATCCTCCCAGCACCAGATTATAAAGCACTTTAAAGTATACATTTTCAATTATTGGGCCTCTGGATTCCTGGGAAGATAATGTCCCTTCTGACGTTATGCGCTTCTCCGGAAGAATTGTGGGGAAGCAGGTCTGCAGTCAGTAAATCTATTAGCAGCATCGTCTGGCTTTATGACGAGACAAATTGTTTGGGAGATGGGGCATAAATCTTTCTCTTAGGCTGCAGTCCCTCCCCCTCCTCCACTTACCAATTGAATTCAATAGCACTTACTTCAGAGTAGACAGGGCTGCCTTGTTTGTAGACTTGCAAGGCTTACCTTGGCCTATTCAGTTTCAATCCTTTTGACTTTGTGGACCAGCCCTTGCAAGTCCAGCTAAAATAATTTTGTTAGGCATCAAGTAGAGAGTTGGACTAGTTGATCCTTGGCTTCCCTTCCAACTCTAGGATTCTATGAAGTATTTAAGGCTTGAAAATGTTCACATGCTTATTTTTAAAAAAGTCTAGATACTTACAAAGCTAAATCCTTAAGTATCACTGACAAATCCAAAGGCAATAAAAGCTTGCTGAATTCTATACTTGTTGGTAAACCTGGCCACATCTGATGAGTTTAGTTTTCCTGAAAGTGGTTTTCCTGGAGTGGCTGTCAATCGCTCTTGCAAGGGCACTGTGAGAAATGTAGCTCTGTGAGGGGAATGGGCGGGGAGTTTCCTGCCATATAACACCAGTCCTGAAAGACCTACATTGACTCCCAGTACATTTCCGAGCACAATTCAAAGTGTTGGTGCTGATCTTTATTTATATTTTTTTTAAAATGATATTTATTAAAGTTTCAAGGAAAAAAAGAATTACACAAAAACAAAAAGTAAAAATACAAGAAAAATACAAAATACAGAGTAAAAGAATAAAAGACACTTAAAAAGAAAAAAAAGAAAAATGGATCAATCTTTCCATAGCTTACATTCATATCCTTGTTTCCCTGACCTCCTCATACCTCCCTTTTTTGTATTCCAGTTCAATTAGTTAAGTCAGCAATTTCTTTCCCTCTTTGTTTTCTCACGATCCTTTAACTTGATATACTATAACTTTAAATTTTCATCTGTTATCAATCCTTTTTTACATACACCTTTATAGCATTACTGCTTAAACCACCTAGCTTCATTCCAACATCATTCTAACATTCATTAATTTTGCAATATTTCTGTAAATAGTCTTTAAATTTCTTCCAATCTTCCAATCTTTAAATTTCTTCCAGTGTTGGTGCTGATCTTTAAAGCCCTAAATGGCCTCGGCCCAATATACCTGAAGGAGCATCTCCACTCCCATAATTCAGTCTGGACACTGAGGTCCAGCTCCGAGGGCCTTCTGGCGGTTCCCTCACTGCAAGAAGTGAAGCTACAGGGAACCAGGCAGAGGGTGCCTTCTCGGTTGTGGCGCCCGGCCTGTGGAATGCCCTCCCATCAGATGTCAAGGAAATAAATAACTACCTGACTTTTAGAAGATATCTGAAGGCAGCCCTGTTTAGAGAAGCTTTTAATGTTTGATGTTTTATCAAGTTTTTAATATTCTGTTTGGAGCCTGACACTCTAACAACTGCACCACACTGTCTCTGTGTTCATGCATCCCATTTCAGGAAGCGAGTAACACACACCTTCTGCTTGCCTCTCGCCACAGGGCTCTGCGTGGGCCAAGGAGACCTGCCCCACCGAGAAGTACACCGCCAGTGGAGAATGCTGCAAAGCCTGTAACGTCGGGGAAGGCGTTGCCCAGCCCTGCGGGATGAACCAAACCGTCTGTGAACCATGCCTGGACAGTAAGTAACACATGAGCATCCTTTGCCCTTCCCTGAAAAGTGTGCATGATCTCGTTGCTTAAAATCATCGCCCCTAAAGGGCGATCAAGAGGCAGACACAGGAAATTCCACGAATTATTTTCTTTCTTTATTCAATTTATATACCACCCTTTATCAAAAGATCCCAGGGTTGTGTACAACATTAAAAACACATGGCAGAACACCAATAATAAAAACATAATAAAAAGGATAAAGGTAAAGGGACCCCTGACCATTAGGTCCAGTCGTGGCTGACTGGGGTTGCGGCGCTCCTCTTGCTTTATTGGCCGAGGGAGCTTCCAGGTCATGTGGCCAGCATGACTAAGCCGCTTCTGATGAACCAGAGCAGCGCACGGAAATGCCGTTTACCTTCCCGCTGGAGCAGTATCTATTTATCTACTTGCACTTTGGCGTGCTTTTGAACTGCTAGGTTGGCAGGAGCAGAGATCAAGCAACGGGAGCTCATCCCATTGTAGGGATCCGAACCGCCAACCTTCTGGTCGACAAGACCTAGGTGCTGTGGTTTAACCCACAGCACCACCTGCGTCCCAATAAAAAGCATACTGACTGACAAATAATGAAACGGTTAATAACAGTCCTCTGCTTTAAACAGTAAACTATGAAATTCAGTACATGGGAGTGCTACCTGTTCCAGGCAAATTTCGCTTATTAAAAGAAATAAATTGAGATGACTCAGGTGCACTGGTGAATGCTGATATTCACCCCCCCCCAAATCATCTAGAGTGGATCTGTGTTCACATATTTGAAGAATTTTCAAAATCTCAAAGCATCCCAAGTTAAGTATTCCACAGAATTTATCACCTGAGATCAAGTTAGACATGTGCTGTTCTGTACTCATCCTGCTCATGGGTTTCCCACAGACATCTGGTTGGCCAAAAAGGATGTTGGACTAGAAAGGCCATTGGCTGGCTCCAGCAGGCTCTACTTAGGCTCTTCCTTGTTGTCCCCCCAGCTGAGTATGGTCCACACTGACCGACAGTAACTTCCCAGGCTTTCCCAGATTTACCCGGAAGAGCAGAGGAGTAACTTGGCTCCCATACACCCTTGGCAAGGAGCTGTATTAGCATCCCCCCACCTTAAAAAAGGGGGGGCGTGGGTGGCGCTGTGGGTTAAACCACAGAGCCTAGGACTTGCCGATCAGAAGGTCGGCGGTTCGAATCCCCAAAACGGGGTGAGCTCCCGTTGCTCGGTCCTTGCTCCTGCCAACCTAGCAGTTCGAAAGCACGTCAAGTGCAAGTAGATAAATAGGTACTGCTCTGGCGGGAAGGTAAACGGCATTTCCGTGCGCTGCTCTGGTTCACCAGAAGCGGCGTAGTCATGCTGGCCACATGACCCGGAAGCTGTACGCCGGCTCCCTCGGCCAATAAAGCGAGATGAGCGCCGCAACCCCAGAGTCAGTCACGACTGGACCTAATGGTCAGGGGTCCCTTTAACTTTACCTTAAAAAAAGGACCACTTTACCACACTCCTTTGTGCTGTGGTGCAGCATGTGGGGGAAGAGGAGGGCTATAACCCTGGGCACAGAAAGTGCCCTCACAACCCAGTTCCCTCACAGCAGGTTCCCTCAGCGAGGCTATGTGGCTGTCACCTTCCTGAGCTGCGGGGAGGCAAGCCACACCCGGGCTGGGCCTTCAGAGCTGCAGCAGTGCTTCCTTCTTCTAGTGGCCGGTGAAGGGATGCCTGGCCCTGGGTGGAACTCCCGCCCAGCAGAATTCTCCTCGCCTGCGCCAGTCCTTCTCCGGGGCCTATCTCCTGGTGTGTGACCTTGGGTGAGGTATGCCTTGTTTGGCAGGAGCACAGAGAAGAGAGCCACCCACTCGGCCAGGACCAGCTGGTGCCCACCCACATTGCGCAGCCAAGGAGAGGTGGCCGGGGATGGGCTGCAGTTGGAGTCTCGGCCTGCTCTCTGCCGCCCTCCTCCTATGCCTGCTGCCAAGCCCACCAAGGAGCACCAGGGAGCTTGCCGAGCTGAGAGGGCAAACATGGCAGCCTGCAGGCAATCTCCGTGAGGAGCGGCTGCCATGGGGCGCAGCGAAGTCTGCCTGTTGCCTCCTGTGCAATGCCCACAAGGAGGTCTGGGGGCACAATCCTTGTCCCGGGCACTGCCAACGCACGCTATGCCACTAACGGGAAGCTTCTCCTGTGCTTGACCTCACTGTGACACATTTCCACACATACACAGTGGTACCTCTGGTTAAGATCTTAATTTGTTCTGGAGGTCCGTTCTTAACCTGAAACTGTTCTTAACCTGAGGTACCACTTTAGCTAATGGGGCCTCCTGCTGCCGCCACCCGATTTCTGTTCTCATCCTGAAGCAAAGTTCTTAACCCAAGGTACTATTTCTGGGTTAGCGGAGTCTGTAACCTGAAGCGTCTATAACCTGAAGCGTCCGTAACCCAAGGTACCACTGTATATGCCATACACTCCATAGTTTGATAGGTGTTTTTTTGAGAGGGGTGTCCCCTTGCTCTAGGCCCGCGCCCCCCTGGGGGCTGGTTTCACCAACCCCTAGGTACGCCTCAGTGGCGGAGATGCTGGGAATTGGACTTGGGCTCGTTTGCATGCAAATCAAATGCTCTGCTATTGAGCTACAGCTGTTCGCCAGTCGACAGCCTTTTGTGGAAGGAACAATATCTTTGATTAGAGCCCTGAACTGCTGTACCACTTGCTCAGATTTCCTTTTTTAAGGTCGAGAGTAAAGGGGACTCAGCAGCAAGCGGCAGCTTTAAGATGCAAATATTTCTACATTAACATCTCAGATGGCATTTCACAGAATGAGATTTTGCTGCTGGCAGTAGCTTCTCTTTAAACACTGCATGCAGATTGCATACCCTCCAACGTTTCTCCAATGAAAATAGGGATGTGCTGTTAATAATAATAATAATAATAATAATAATAATAATACCCTGCCCATCTGACTGGGCTGCCCCAGCCACTCTGGGTGGCTTCCAACATATATAAAAACATAATAAAACATAAAATATTAAATATCACTTTCCCTATATAGTGCTGCCTTCTAAAGGTTGTATCTTGTTGGCTCACATAACTCCATACCCTCCGACATTTCTCCAATAAAAATAGGGACGCCCTAAGGAAAAGTGGAACATTCCGGGATCAAATCAGAAACTGGGATGGCTTCTGGAAATCTGGGACTGTCCCTGGAAAATAGGGGGACACTTGGAGGGTCTGTGATTCCAGGGTGTCTCTGGACAAGAGAGACGGGAGCTCCTAAGCCCTCGAAAGCACCAAGTGCCCCTGGCAGGGGAGCGACACAAAGGTCTGGTTCTGCTCCACACAGCACTGGTTAAAAATAAACTAAAAATAACATTCCCATGCAAAATCAATGGCTGCTACTTAACCTCAGCAGAGAATGGCAGCAGAAAGGCTGGGTATCAAATACCAGGCTGATAATCTGACCTTGGAAGACTTGCTGCATTGGCATTTGGCAGGGCAAGAAGGAAGGAGGGAAGGAAGGAAGGAAGGAAGGAAGGAAGGAAGGAAGGAAACTCTGCTGCTTTTCAGAAAAAGGAAGCAAGCCTGCAAACTTTCATTACTGCCCAAGGTGCTCTCAAGGCTCTGGGCCTTGTGAGGAGTCTTGGTCCAGGGCTGATTGGTTCACCTGCATCTTGCATGCTACCAGATTCATTATCTATATCTATCTCTATCTATCTATCTATCTATCTATCTATCTATCTATCTATCTATACGTACATGATTTGCAGGCATGTGCTGGCAGAATTGGATGCAAAGCCAAGAGGGCAGCAGGTCCCCTGTGGGATTCCAGCTGAAAGCGGACACTCTGGATAGGGCAAATCAATAAAGAAGAATAAGCACACAGCTGTGAGAGACAAAAAAAAGCCTTCTTCCAGATGAGTCAGTCCTCTGAGCACCAAACCAGGCCCTCAGTGGCATCTGAGACGTATTTGGGAGTGCTTAGGCATACTTCCAGCCTGTTTTCCAGTGTTGCAACTACCACTAGGAAAGGGGGAGAAGTTTGTTCATTCGCACTTCCCGATTCAGTACGACAGGCATGGCAGACCCTCCAAGTGTCCCTATTTTCCAGGGACAGTCCCGGATTTACAGAAGCTGTCCTGGTTTCTGATTCGACCCTGGAATGTCCCGCTTTTCCTTAGGACGTCCCTATTTTCCTCAGAGAAATTTTGGAGGGTATGGTAAAGATAAAGGTAAAGGGACCCCTGACCATTAGGTCCAGTTGTGGCCGACTCTGGGGTTGCGGTGCTTTATTGGCCGAGGGAGTTGTCGTACAGCTTCTGGGTCATGTGGCCAGCATGACTAAGCTGCTTCTGGTGAACCAGAGCAGTGCACGGAAATGCTGTTTACCTTCCTGCCAGAGTGGTACCTATTTATCTACTTGCACTTCGTGCTTTCGAACTGCAAGGTTGGCAGGAGCAGGGACAGAGCAACGGTAGCTCACCCCGTCATGGGGATTCGAACCGCTAACCAGAGCCATAGGCTCTGTGGTTTAACCCACAGCGCCACCCACGTCCCTGGAGGGTATGGTAGGACACTCCTATTTTCCAATCTTTAGTAAATGTTGGCATTTATTTTTCCCTGATTAAACATGTCAGCTTTGCCATCACAGCTAAGGGGGCGGGACAGGTAGTAGATCTAATAGGCTTCAAATTACAAGAGGATGGGTTTAGGCGGAACATAAGGAGAAATGCCTTAATGGTAAGAGCAGTTCAAACTTAGAATCAATTATTTGCGGGGTGGCGGGAACCTCTTTGCTGCAGACCTTCCAGCTGAGGCCAGAGAGCTACCTCTTGGGCATTCTTTAGCTTTAGCTTTCCTGCCGGGAGTTGGACTTGGTCTCCTGCAATACCTCCTTCAAGTCAGAAGTTTTATACATCACAGTACAGGGTGTCAGCAAAACCAGTATAGAACTAACGACAAGAAAGTCTGAAGCATAAAAGCTGCAGGATTCTGGTACAGATAGCGATGTAAAAAGACATTATTTTCCACTCTGCCACACATCGCCGTTTCTGTTCTGCTGCACTTCAGCTTCCCCAAAAATAATGCTATTTGGCTCCCTTTTCTCTCTGAACCAGATTTAATAATGTAATTATTTCGGTTATCGTTACTTGGTTCTACACCATCCATTACAAGGGGCATGGGGGTAGGGAATATCCTTAATAACATATTGTTTGCATCCTGAAAAATATATAGTTGTACCTTGCATCCTGAATGCCTTGCGAGTTGACTGTTTTGGCTCCTGAACCCAGAAGTGAGTGTTCCGGTTTTCAAACATTCTTTGGAACCCGAACTTCCGATGTGACTTCTGCGGCTTCTGATTGGCTGCAGGAGCTTCCTGCGGCCAATCGGAAGCCGTGCCTTGGTTTCTGAATGTTTTGGAAGTCAAACGGATTTCCAAGGTACCCCTGTAATGACAAAGGAATTGTGGACTGGGGTGAACAACAAAAGGCAGCAGCAGATACCAAACACATTTGCTTGCCTGATTTCTGTTCCTGTTTGCAGACCAACAGGCAAGAAGTGAAGTTACAGGGAACCAGGCCAAAAGCTTTTTCGGCAGCAGCACCCTCCCTGTGGCATGCCCTCCCATCAGATGTCAAGGAGATAAAGAACTACACAACTTTTAGAAGAAGTCTGAAGGCAGCCCTGTATAGGGATGTTTTTAATGTCTGATGTTTCGCTGTGTTCTGTTAGTTTCTGTTGGAAGCTGCCCAGAGAGGCTGGAGGAACCCAGTCAAATAGGCGGGGTAATAAATTATTATTATAAGCGAACTTCTAGTTCATATAAAAACACAAGAAAACGTCAAACATTACAAACTTCCCGATACAGGGCTGCCTTCAGATGTCTTCTGAAAGTTGTGTAGTTCTTTATCTCCTTGACATCTGATGGGAGGGAGTTCCACAGAGAGGGTGCCACTACCGAGAAGGCCCTCTGCCTTGTTCCCTGTAACCTTGTTTCTGGTAGTGAGGGAACCACCAGAAGGCCCTCAGAGCTGGATTTCAGTGCCTGGGCTGAACAATGAGGGTGGAGATGATCCTTCAGGTAGCTACAGTTGCCTCCTTATGCCCCAATCCAGCAAATGAAATGCACACTTAGAAACAAACTCCTGCAGGAGGGGGTTTCCTGGAGTGGGTTTGCAGAAGCCTCTTGCCTTGGGGTGGTGGTGAAATGACTGCATGGAGTCACCCACGTGCGCAGCTTCAGAGGCATTTCTGGGCCTGTCTGGTTTGCATTCTGGGGGACACATTCCTTCCTATCCACCCCCAACCTCATATTCCAGGACGTTGCAGAGTGGAGACATTTCCTCTCTCATCTGGGATCTCCGTTTGGGGAGATGGGAGGGAAGAAGGCTTACAGCAGGCAGATTTACGGTTTGTCTACCTCGTTGAAAACTACCACACTGTGCATATGTGTTTAGCTCCGCTAAGCTGCCTGTGGGTGGTTTGTGGGCATAAACACATGCGCTCCTGTTTTATGTTACCGTGCAGAAGCCTGACCTTGCGACACCCTTGCGCATCTGCGCTGCTCCGCCGGTCTGTTTCCGTTGTTGGGTTGCAAGATCAGAGCCTTTGGCTCAGGTCCCAGTATTGCAGAGTCCCCTTCCCTTAAAAGAAGAAGACAAATAAAAAGGCAATGGTAAACTTCAGTGAAGAAATAATTCTGGGGTTTTCCCTGTGTGAGATCAACATGGTAAAAGAGGGAGCAAAGGGAACTGCGTTGGAGGAAGAGGAGGAGGAGGAGGAGGAGGAGGAGGAGGAGGAGGAGGAGGAGGAGAAGAAGAAGAAGAAGAAGAAGAAGAAGAAGAAGAAGAAGAAGAAGAAGAAGAAGAAATAATACATGGTCAGGCAAAATCTTTGTTAGAAGGTCCAGCTCTGAGGGCTTTCTGGCGTTTCCCTCGCTGCGAGAAGTGAGGCTACAGGGAACCAGGCAGAGGGCCTTCTTGGTGGTGGCGCCCACCCTGTGGAACACCCTCCCACCAGATGTCAAAGAGAAAAATAACTACCAAACTTTTAAAAGACATCTGAAGGCAGCCCTGTTTAGGGAAGCTTTTAATGTTTAATAGGTTATTGTATTTTAGTGTTTTGTTGGAAGCCGCCCAGAGTGGCTGGGGAAACCCAGCCAGATGGGCGGGGTATAAATAACAAATTATTATTATTATTATTATTATTATTATTATTATTATTACCAACCAATAAAATGAAATAAAAATCACAAAATAGTGTTGAAGTTCGCCACTACTCTGTGCACGTTGCAACTCGTCAATGTCCCATTGCTGGCAGCGGTTGGATTTATTAATATGTAGCTGTCTCCTCTTGGCATCCATCTGCTTTCTGAATGCTTCCCCTCTCGCTCCAGGCCGCCGCGGAGACAGTGCCCATTTGGCCCAGCCACCTCCCTCCCGCAAACCTGCTGTCTTCTCCCCTCCTCTGCACCAGCCTAATGGTCGCCATCAATAATTCAGCCTGATGGAAGGATCCACCTGGGTTAATGGGAGCTGTTTGCTCCAGCCGCTGAGTTGGCGCTGGATGTAAAACCATGGTTCTTCCAGAGACAGGAGCAGGCGGCTTCAAGTTCTCACGTCACGTTGGCGAGGGGCAGCAGTCAGCGGCCTAAGTGGAGGTTGGCCCATTGGGGCAAATCATAGAATCGTGGAATTGCAGAGTTGGAAGGGACCCTGAGGATCATCTGGTTCAACCCCTTGCCGTGTAGGAATAGGCAGCTGTCCCATAGGGGGATGGAACCTGAAACCTTGGCATTATCGGCACCACGCTCTAACCAACTGAGCTATGGGGCGCTGTCAAGGCTCTGTCAAGGCTTCGGCAAAGCTATTCCTCCCCTGGTTGCAGCAATAGCAGAGAAAACAAGGCAGAGTCCTTTTTAATGAGTTCATTCAATCCTAATAAGTGAGAGACAAAAGAACACAGCAAGCCTTAATACAGTGTACCTCGGGTTAAGAACTTACAGTGGTACCTCAGGTTAAGTACTTAATTCATTCCGGAGGTCTGTTCTTAACCTGAAACTGTTCTTAACCTGAAGCAGCATTTTAGCTAATGGGGCCTCCTGCTGCTGCCGCGCCGCCGGAGCACAATTTCTTTTCTCATCCTGATGCAAAGTTCTTAACCTGAAGCACTATTTCTGGGTTATCAGAGTCTGTAACCTGAAGCGTATGTAACCTGAAGCATATGTAACCCGAGGTACCACTGTAATTCGTTCCGGAGGTCCATTCTTAGCCTGAAACCGTACTTAACCTGAGGTACCACTTTAGCTAATGGGGCCTCCTGCTGCAACCACGTGATTTCTGTTCTCATCCTGAAGCAAAGTTCTTCACCCGAGGTACTATTTCTGGGTTAGCGGAGTCTGTAACCTGAAGCGTCTGTAACATGAAGCGTCTTTAACCTGAGGTACCACTGTAATGGCGTTGCTCCAAACTGGGCTCCTCCTCCCTCCTTCCTAGCAACAGCATCTTCCCTTACGGTGGCCACTCGTGGTCAAATGTTTCTGATAACTTAGTTCTTGCACTGTTCTGGGAGAAGGGGGTGGGTCAGAAAACTCTCCAGTGACAACGTGTCATCTGGCTGCCCTGCCACAGTCCCCCCCCCCTTCTAACACTTCCCAACTCTTCTGTTCATCTAACTCTCCCTCAAACCCCTCAAAGCCCTGCTGTAAACCAGCGCTGCCTCCCTCTTCTCCTGCAGCGTTGGGAGAAAGGGGAGGGAGTGTGATCTCCACCATTCCTCCTCCATCTTGCCCTCTTGAGTCCAAGCCCTGAAAGGTACTGTTCCCTCAAGCACAGTTGGCCCATAGCTGTCAACTTTCAGATTTGAAAAGAAGGGATCAGCAGCCTCGAAAATAAGGGATCAGCAGCCTCACCTGTCCCAGAGACAGTATACGGGATATCTAACAATCCGGGATAGCAGCGGGAAGCAGCAGGAAACTGCGCTGGAATAAGGGAATTTCCCGCAAAAAGGGAAGGTTGACAGCTATGAGTCGGCCCTCAGTCAGGTATCACCTGCCTGCCTCCTTAAATACAACTCCTAGGGGTCAACTCCTAGGGGCTGAGGCGTCTTCGGCCCCCCATAAAATATTTGAGCCTCCCCCCAAGTTGATGGACATTGCCATTCAAATGGTGCGTGTGCACTGAGTCATGTGATTGATTATGCAGGGCGGGCTTACCTGGGTCCCCCCAATATTTTATTCAAGTTGGCACCCTTGGCATTGTCTGTCAGCCTCCTTCTTTTCAGCCTCAATGTTGCCTTTGTAGAATTCAGCAGGGAGGAGGAGGAGGACGAAGCCGGAATTAGTTGGCTCGGCCTATTACTGTCTCTGTCTCGGCCTGCCACTGGCTTTTGCTCCTGTGACTGTTAGCCTCCATGCCATCCATCTTCCCACTCCCAGCTGGGCACCAGCCTCCACTGGTAATTTTTGTTGGCATCCGTCTGTCTCGGGAGACAATGAAAGAGTGCGTTTTCAGGGCTAAGGTCAAACCGTTGGAAAGTTACAGCGCCTGCTGTGCATGTAGAGATGGATGCTGATTTCACAGAAATCAGAGAATCGTAGAGCTTGCCAAGTGCTCCCTCCAGCACAATACCACCAGCCATTGACAAACTGACAGCCATTGACAAATCCAACCCTTAGACCTCCACAACTTGCCTGGGCTACCAACCTGCCTATACAGTGGTGCCTCGCAAGACGAAATTAATTCGTTCCGCGAGTTTTGTCGTCTTGCGATTTTTTTCGTCTTGCGAAGTACGGTGTTGGGAAAGTTTTGGAAAAGCTTCAAAAATCACCAAAGTCTTTAAAAACCTCAACAAAGGCTACCACACCGCGTGCTATGAGTTGCTCCTCGAAGTCAAGTTGCAACTGTATTAACGGTGTTAAGAAAAAGGAAACAAACTTGCAAGACGTTTCCGTCTTGCGAAGCAAGCCCATAGGGAAAATCGTCTTGCGAAGCAGCTCAAAAAACAAAAAACTCTTTCGTCTAGCGAGTTTTTTGTCTTGCGAGGCATTCGTCTTGCGAGGTACCACTGTATCTCCATTCTTCAGTTCCCTCTTTGTCTCCCCTGGACTGTCTGCCTAGGCTGTGTGGGAATGTTGTGGATAGTGGGAGAGGATATATTGATTAAAAATTATCCTTCCTCACTCACGCTAGTGAGTCAGTAGCAGAGTACATTCCCCTGTATATTGCAGAAAGCTAGTTAGTAGATTCATTAGAATCTCTTGAGTTAAGCTATGGGTAGGCAAACTAAGGCCCGGGGGCCGGATCAGGCCCAATCTCCTTCTAAATCCGGCCCGCGGACAGTCCAGGGGATCAGCGTGTTTTTTCATGAGTAGAATGTGTCCTTTTATTTAAAATGCATTTCTGGGTTATTTGTGGGGCATAGGAATTCATTCATTTTTCTTCTTCAAAATATAGTCCGGCCCCGCACAAGGTCTGAGGGACAGTGGACCGGCCCCCTGCTGATGAAGTTTGCTGACCCCTGAGTTAAGCAATCCAGTCTGGCTTGTCCAGATTTGGATTCCTGGTAAACCCCCTTGGTTCCTTCTAAAAAAAAGAATAAAGACACAACAGTCTTCTCTTAAATGTAATAAGAGGTTTACTTACATTCAGTTCACGGTATGATTCTGAAAGTAGACTTTAGCCTGTAGTTACAGAAGGGAGTGTGGGTTCATCCTATATGGGGATTGAGCCCATGGGCTGCTGGCTGAGAGCCAGCACACAGCAAAAGCATCAAGATGGTATAAAGCGAAAAAGGGTCAAGAGAGAAGGGAAGGTGGCTGTGGGACTAGCCCTTTTATGGGGTCTCACAGGGTCTCGCCCATCTACCTGGTCACATGCAGGGGAAGGATGCTCCAGACCAGGTGTGACAGGAAGTCCTCCTGGCTGGAGTAACATCCCCCTGTATGCCCACTCTGGGCAAACAGGAAATGTTGTACTTGACTGCTACAGTGATGTTACATCCCTCACCTACCCACATCCCATCCCTCCAAGTTATCACCACCTTAGGGTGGTCCCAGGGCAGGTTACAACAACTAAAACACAAATGAGCCTCATAGAGAGGCACCACTAGACCAGTGTTGCTTCTTCTAGTGGGTAGTGGGCTCCCAAGAATATCCAACAGATTATTATTATTATTATTATTTATTATTTATACCCCGCCCATTAAAATACTGTAATACATCAAACATTAAAATCTTCCCTAAACAGGGCTGCCTTCAGATGTCATCTAAAAGTCTGGTAGTTGTTGTTCTCTTTGACATCTGGTGGGAGGGCGTTCCACAGGGCGGGTGCCACTACCGAGAAGGCCCTCTGCCTGGTTCCCTGTAACTTGGCTTCTCACAGTGAGGGAACCGCCAGAAGGCCTCGGTGCTGGACCTCTGTGTCCAGGTAGAACAATGGGGGTGGAGACGCTCCTTCGGATATACTGGACCGAGGCCGTTTAGGGCTTTAAAGGTCAGCACCAACACTTTGAATTGTGCTTGGAAACGTACTTTTCCTAGATTGTGCTACTTGATCCTTGGAGATATCAGGATTTGAATCTGGGGCCTTCAGCTCCACCACCAAGGAATCAGTCCTTCCCCACGAAGGCTGAAGGCTCCGACAACATTTCTTTTTCAGTGCTCAAGTCTCTTAACGTTTCGAAACATCCCTTCTGCTATTTAACCTTAATACTCCTTCCTGCAATTTAGATCTATTACTTTTGCTTCCTTCCCGCCCCGCCCCCCGAGTTAACAAGGGGGATTTGGGGAGGCGGGAGTTTGCCCGAGAGGCCGGTGACAAAGGCTACTGCTTCATTGATAGTGACAGCAAAGGGCAAGTTTAAATGAGAGCGTGGTGTGTTTTGATGGAGGCATTCAATCTGAAGAGTGGCTTTTTGCGTCCTGCCATTCAGAAGGAAAATGGCTATTTCCCAAGAATGTCCTCAAGAGATCACACAGCTGATGAAAGATTAATAGGGTGCAATGGGAGGGAGTGTGTGGAGGAGCTGGACTGCTGCAAAATCACGGCGGAAGGAATCAATGAAAAAACCCCTTTGGTTTGCATTTATCAGCGAACCTACCAATTTTGCACTTTCTGAAACAGTACGCCAGCCGAAATGAGTTTCTGCGAATTTTGCAGTGCAGATCTCCAGCCACGTAATGGGTAGGAAAAATGCATGTAGTGGGGTAAAGCAGGCATAAAAATGCACATATTTGTGAAAAAAGCAAAAGAAAATGGGAATATTGGGCAAAATAGCACACAGAGGCGTGCATATTAGGGGTGTAGGGCTGTGTCTAGATGCTAGGAGAGGATAGATTTATTAGCTATTATCCTCCCTCCCTCCCTCATGTTTGTGAGTTCAGCAGAGTGCATCTCTTTGCAGCTTAAAAGGGAAGCTTAGATAGGCTAGTTTTAGCCTCCTAGTTTAAGTAATCCAGAATGCTTTAAGGCAGACTGGATTCTCCTGGTTTTGCCCCCCCCCCTTTCTTCTCCTTGAAACACAAATCACACAAACAGTGCTGTGAAAGGTAAGCATAACATTTGTTCCCTTCAGAGTTCCTCTTGCAGAATAACAGAGATGGTAGGTTTGTTCAGGCACCCTTAAAATGGCAATTCAGTTGCAAAGGCATGCTTAAGTCTAGCTTAAGATGGAGTCTGAGCTGTAGTTTTGTTTTTCATTCGCAAACTGATGTGGGAATGTGGAGGGCTGGACTTGAGAGTGCAAATGAGAAACCGAGAGGAACTGAAATGTGCAGCTTTGCTTAGCCCAAGGCTCAACACCACACCTGAAGGTAAATCAAGAAATGAATTAAGAGCGTTTTTGGGAGGGGGGCGATTTAAGCCTGGTGCTGTGGGTTAAACCACAGAGCCTAGGACTTGCCAATCAGAAGGTCAGTGTTTCGAATCCCCATCACGGGGTGAGCTCCCCTTGCTCGGTCCCTGCTCCTGCCCACCTAGCAGTTCGAAAGCACGTCAAAGTGCAAGTAGATAAATAGGTACCACTCCGGCGGGAAGGTAAACGGCGTTTCCGTGTGCTGCTCTGGTTCGCCAGAAGCGGCTTAGTCATGCTGGCCACATGACCCGGAAGCTGTATGCTGGCTCCCTCTGCCAATAAAGCGAGATGAGCGCCGCAACCCCAGAGTCGGCCATGACTGGACCTAATGGTCAGGGGTCCCTTTACCTTTACCTTTTAGAGTCACTGTGCAACCTGGTTACACGAAGAGTCATTTCTTTAGATAGCCAGCACTTGTGTGTTCCTGCATCAATCTGAAACAAGTTCTCCTTCTCTAGACGCCTTTGGGCAATGATGGTGAGGGTGATCCCGTAGAGAAAAAAGCAGGCCAGGAAATTTGGGACTTGAAACAGGGCACAGAAAGATTGATTTCCACACACTATTTAATTCCCTACAGAGTGCAGCTGAAACCAGAGAAGCAGGAACGAAGAGCAGGGTCAGTGGAAAGTCAGCAATTTTGGCATCGTTATTCAATGTTTACATTGGACACCAGAATCCTAATCCTTTCCCATAGCTAATTGACGGGAAAACAGATGCTTGATCAAACATTGCTCCCCGCATCCCCACTGTGGAACAGAGATGGCAGCAATGTATGGCTGCCAAATCAACATTTATTTACTCGCTTGCGGTATTTATAGGTTGCCCCGTAGCGAAGTTTTTGGGGTGGCTCACAATGGGAAATAAAGTCATGTAAAACTTAATAATAATTGAGACAGCGATAAACATACATTTATGTATGTATTGGCTATATATTTTGGAAAGTGGTTGACCTGTTTGCTATGCATTTGGACACCTTTTAAGACATCATAACCAAATCTTGCATGATGATTTCCTGAGATCAAGGAGCAGGTTGTCTTTGTTGGGATACAATTAGACACCATTTGGAATCAAGATGGCGGGCTGCACTGATTTTAACCACCGGTTTCAAAACTGTACTCATATTTTGGGTTTCTTGGAATTCCCAAGCAATGCTAGGTACACATGTACACACACACACACTTTTATGCACATACATGCATATAAACAGGGCTGGATTAACCATTAAGCAAAATAAGCACATGCTTAGGGCATCAAGGGAAGGGGAGCACCACAGAAATTTTCCATTGCTGGATTTACCATGAACCATAAGGTGCAGCTGAACCAGGTTCCACAAAAAAGGCTCTCCTAATATGCGTGTATAATAATAATTTTATCATTTATACACCAACCCATCTGCATAAGTTGCCCCAGCAACTCTGAGCAACTCCAAACAAAATATTAAAAACACAATAAAACCTCAAACATTAAAAACTTCCCTGTACGGGGCTGCCTTCATATGCCTTCTAAAAGCCTGATAGTTGTTTGACATCTGATGGGAGGATGTTCCACTGGGCAGGTGCCACTACCAAGAAGGCCCTCTGCCTGGTTCCCTGTAATTTCATGTCTTGCAGTGAGGAAATCGTCAGAACCGGCCCTTGGAGCTGGACCTCAGTGTCCGGGCTGAATGATGGGAGTCAAGATTCTCCTTCAGGTATACAGGGCCAAGGCTGTTTAGGAATAATAATTTTATTATTTCGTAAATTCAGTGCAACAACACCACAAAGAGTAAAAACAAGATTCAGTCAGGCTGAACGTTATGTTATAATATAATTTGAGAATACCATATTTTATGGTTTGTTATTATTTATATTTTGAATTAGATACAGTATATACGGGGGCACCAAAATCTTTTAAGTGCTGAAGGCTTCTAAAAGTCTTAATCCGGCCCAGCATATAAATACCTGAACACACAAATCATAGAGAGTAAAACAGCTTAAAACCAAAATGCATTCAAAGGTCTGGGGAAATAAAAAAGGAAATTAAAGTAGATGTTAGGTGATTTTTCCAGGGGTGGGGGCATTCCACAGCTGGGGTGCCCCTCCCCACAGGATAGACCCTCTCCTCCAAGGCCTCCCTTCTCTTCAGCACATCTCGGTCAGTAGTGGCAGTTGGAGAAAGGCCTCCGAGGAAAATCTCAGAGTCCAGGCAGGTATACGGGGAAAGAGGTGATCCTTCAGGTATGGAGCAGTTCCCACAACTCCAGCCTCACTGACCAGCTCTTCCCTATTGGCTGAGATTGAGCCAATCCCTTCATTTCTTCCTCCATCCTGTGGAAGAGGAAGTTGTCAACAAGGCGTGCCTGAAATTCCTTGGAGATTCCATGCTTAGTGGAGTTTGTTTCCAAGCAAACATCGTGGTTGTGACAGTTGCTCATTAACCGAGGATTCCTGCTTCCCTGAAAACATCTGTAATTTGTTTCAGGGAAGCATCATCCACATGTCTTGAAGAAATTTTGTTTTGGTTTGCATCTTAATGGGAAATTACCCAATGCCAGAAACAATACACAAAAGGAATGGGCATCTAGCCTTCGAAAGTTATCCCTCTCTGAATTTTGTAATGCGGTTCTTCAACCAAATAAGGTGTAGCAAATATGTGTACATTAGAGGAAAGTGTGTATAGAAACGACCATTGGTTATGTTGGCTGAGGCTGACAGGAGTTGCAGTTGGGTCCTGGTGAGTCTAGGGTCTAAAATGACTTATCAGCACTGCTGGGATTCAGACTGAGGGAAGCCTTCTCAGGTCTAGTGATACAGTCCCCGGATACAGGATGCATCAGGAAGTTTTTAACATTTGACGTTTTATTATGTTTTTATATTCTTCTGGAAGCTGCCCAGAGTGGCTGGGGAAACCCTGACAGATGGGTGGGGTATAAAGATGATGATGATGATGATGATGAACATAAATCTCCAGTTAAAGCAAAAGACAAGGCAGCCCATGCTTCATTCCCAGTGTAGGTCCTAAAATCATCTGTCACTTGCTGTGCAAGGAACCTGGGCCTTGTATGGCATAGCAGTTGAGCTAGGAGGAAGACAATAGCACTAGAAAGGATGTGTGTGTATGTCTCTCTATGTGTGTCTGTGTTAGTCTTGAGGAAGGGCAAATCTGTCCATTTCAGTTTCTCTGCTTTTCTCGTTTCCACAGTTCTCATAAACATTAATTCACATTTTTGTGCTGCTTCATTTGCACATTTTTGTATGCAATTTTTGCCTAATGCAGACTTTATTGCAAAGGAATTTCCCTTAATACAGTGCACTCCCCCCCCCCCGCTTTACACACATTTTTTTATACATTGCGTGGCTGGAGAAGCGTATTGCAAAATTCAGAGAATTTTCAAGGGTGGCTATGTTTCGGTTTGTGAATTCTTTTCAAAAGAATGAATCAAATCACTCCCCCATTCCTAGTGGATGATTCACAGAACGGAGAATTCTGCCAGGCATGGATTTCCTTGCTACGGCAGGTTTGCGATGGGGAAAGTGCCACCCCTGGAAATGCCATACCTTCTGTACAGGGGCTATTGAGGGCATGAACTTGGCAATGTTGCCATCTGGGTACTGATCCTTTGCCAGCACCCCTTCCCTGGCTTGCGTGAAACTGGATATCTTCAGTACTGGCTCCTCAGCTAGGAAGGCCCACTGGAGCCAGAGCTAAATCGAAATAAACTATTTTAACTTGAAGTCAGCGTGTTTGTATAGCTCCTTCTGCTGGTTTAACTCCCCCATTAAATCATAATATATTGCCTCTTTAGGCATCACGGCGCACTTTATAATGCTCACTGGTGTGTGATTCATCCTATGCGATCTTTGTAACAGAGTTGGTTCAATTTTATTGTTACGAGCCAATTATAACTACGCAGCAATGAACGGTGAGCGAATGTTGCCTTCAGGCACAGTTATGCAAACTCTAAACAGGCTTCCCCCACCCCATGATCCTTCAGGAGCCATATTGGGATCGCTTAATTTGGAGAGGAAATGAGGGGGGGGGAGGAAGGACCATAATTAGGAGGGTTGGTATATTGCTACACTTGCTTCACCCAAAGGCCCCGCAGCCATGTTGGCAGGTGGCTTGAATCTGGGGTTGCGACTGAGCTTGTTTTATCAGTCTGCACACCCATCCACACTGTTAATCCCTATATTCGTGGTCAGGGGTTGGGAACTTGTGGCCCTCTGGATGTGGTGGGACTCCAACTCCCATCAGCGCTGGTCAATAGTCAGGGATGGTGGGAGTCAGGGCCAGCGGCGTAGCGTGGGTTGTCAGCACCCGGGGCAAGGCAAGTAATTTGCGCCCCCTAAACCAGGGCAAGGCAAGTAATTTGCGCCCCCTAACCCCTAACCTGCCGCCACTGCCAGCTTCTTCTTGCTGCTGCCTGGTCTGGTCTGGTGTGGTTCTCTCCTGCGCTCAGCGCTGCGCTGGGCGGCCGCTGCACTGTCCCTCCCCCAGATAGTCCCTCGCTCTCTCTCCGCACCACACGCCTGGCACCCACCCCCCTCCACAGTGGGCGGCGACCCAGCAGCTCGGATCGGATTCGCACAGCCAGCACTGCAGTGAGAGAGAGTGAGTGAGCCAGGTAGGGGCAGAGAGCTGCGAGTGCGAGCGCGCCCCCCCAGATGTTGCGCCCGGTGCGGCCGGCCCCCCTGCACCCCCCACGCTACGCCACTGGTCAGGGCCGGCCCACCTATGAGACATGCTGAGGCAGTTGCCTCAGGTGGCAGATCTGGCTTCCAAGGAAAGTGATGCTTGCCACGGCTGCTGCTGCTACCTCCTCTACCACCTGCCACTGCCTACTCCTCTTTAGCCTCCTTTTACTTCCTTCTGCCTTATTCCTTAATGTATAAGGGTTTATGCATGCAGAGAAAAAGGACAAGAAATAAGTCTGGGGACCTGCATTGGCCTCTAGGCCTATGAGCCCTGGGACTCTTCCCAGGTCACATTGGCCCTCATGGGATGCAGGTGGTGCTGTGGTCTAAACCACTGAGCCTCTTGGGCTTGCCGTTCAGAAGGTCGGCGGTTCGAATCCCTGTGACGGGGTGAGCTCCTGTTTCCCTGTCCCAGCTCCTGCCAACCTAGCAGTTCGAAAGCACGCCAGTGCAAGTAGATAAACAGGTACAGCTGTGGTGGGAAGGTAAATAGTGTTTTCGTGCACTCTGGTTTCCGTCACGGTGTTCTGTTGCGCCAGAACTGGTTTAGTCATGCTGGCCACATGTCCCAGAAAGCTGTCTGTGGACAAACGCCGGCTCCCACGGCCTGAAAGCGAGATGAGCGCCACACCTCATAGTCACCTTTGACTGGACTTAACCATCCAGGGGTCCTTTACGTTGGCCTTGATCCATACTCTCCCAGTTCTTTTGGCTGGTGAAATGTATCTCTGCTTGCCTGGACGGAGAGATGTACATGAAGAAAACTCTGACTTCTATGTGGCTGGGCTATAGCCTTCTGTATAAAGGCAAGAGTAACATCTGTGGCCCCACTCACCTCTGGCATGTGGCTATCAGAAGGTTGCATATTAGGGGATGCAGCCCTCACACTGCAGAGGTTTGCCTGCCCTGGTTGGAGAACACCTAAAAGGCCTGGGAGAAACGAATGTTTTTGCCTGGTACCTTAAGGGTAGCAGAGAAGGTGTCCGGCGAGCCTTTCTGGGAAGGGAGATGCACCCAAATGAATTGAACAAAATCGCAGTGGGGAGTGTCAACACAATTTTTTAAAAGTCTAACAGTCACGAGGCAAGCAAAACACAAAGAACGAGGACCGAGCTATTTCCAAAAGTAACTGTATAAAATTTCTGCCAAGCATCTGGACTTATTCAAATCAGTATTGCATCCCTGTTTACGAAAATTAATAAAAGGCAACCGGCCTAATCCAAAATTCTGCTTTGTTTTTCTTCCTCCCTTTTATCGCACATGTTTGGTAAATTAATTTTGACATCTCAATTTTTTCCCTGTACTCGACACACCCATTCTTCAGTTGAAAGAACTGTAGGCATCCAGCATTTAAGTGTTCCAAAAACAAAGCCCCGGTTCTCAGTTATCCTGGAAGGAACCTTGCTTCCAGCCACCAGGGAGGTCAAGAGACTTTAAAGGACTGGCAATTCAGAGGTATACGACCTCTGAACATGTAGGTTCTATTCATTTTCATGGCTAATAGCCACTGATTGACCTGTTCTCTAGGGATGAGTCTAAAACCCTCTTGAAACCATTTGAGCAAATAGCTACCGCTACATCCTGAGGCAGTGAGTTCCATAGGTTAATTTTAGTCAATGGAACTAGAGAAATGTGAACTATGGAACTCACTCCCCCCGGAGGCAGTCATGGCCACCAACTTGGAAGGTTTTTAAAGAAGATGGGGCAAATTCATGGAGGCTGAGGCTATCAGTGGCTACTAGCCAAGCCGGATATGTCCTCCAAATACCAGTTGTTGGGAAACGCAGATGGGTAGAGTGTGGTTACTCTCAGGTTCTGCTTGCAAGTGTTTCATCAGCATCTCATTGGCCAGGATGCTAGGCTAGATGGGCCATCTGAAGTCACTCCCCAGTCCCTTTTAACACACAAGTCAATGGGCTCTTTATTCATTGAGAGATTGTTGGGCTTTTTAGAATCTTGGTTATTAATTTTTCACAAGGAAAAAAAACTTTACAAATTTTAACATAAACCATAAATTACATTATCAATCGACTTCCTGTCCTCCACTTCCATGGTTTCCATATTTACCCTTAAATGCTGCATATTTCATCTATACTATTCAATACATTCAATTTCACCTATTTATTTTAATAATTCACATTGTTGCTCGTATTTCAAGTCCTGCTCATATTTTCATCTCCCTATAATAGTTCTTTAAATACTCAATGAAAAAGTTTCCAGCCCTCAATGAATTTACTGTCGTTTTGGTGTCTAATCTTTGGTGTTAATCTTGACAGTTCTGCGTACTCCATCATTTTCAAAAGCCAATCTTCCTTTGTTGGGAACTCTTCTTTCTATCTTTGGACAAACAATATTCATGCTGCTGTCATCATGTACCTAAATAAGCTAACCAGCTCTTTTGGAACATCATTATTTATAATTCCTAAAAGAAAAGTTTCAGGTTTCTTGGGAATTATCAACTAAAACATATTTAGCTTTTTTTGCAACTCCACCACATAGGGAAGAATGTTCCTTCTGTCATTTTGCACTTGCAACACATACTTGACTTAGCTTTATACATTTTGGCTAGCTTAAGGTAAAGGTAAAGGTAAAGGGACCCCTGACCATTAGGTCCAGTCGCGGACGACTCTGGGGTTGCGGGGCTCATCTCGCTTTATTGGCCAAGGGAGCTGGCGTACAGCTTCTGGGTCATGTGGCCAGCATGACTAAACCACTTCTGGCAAACCAGAGCAGGGCACGGAAATGCCGTTTACCTGCCGGAGCAGTACCTATTTATCTACTTGCACTTTGATGTGCTTTCGAACTGCTAGGTTGGCAGGAGCAGGGACCGAGCAACGGGAGCTCACCCCATCGCAGGGATTCGAACCACCGACCTTCTGATCGGCAATCCCTAGGTTCTGTGGTTTAACCCACAGCGCCACCCGTGTCTTACTTGGTGTTAAATACAATCCATAAATCATCTTCATATAATTTTATTTTAAAGTATAGCAAGCAGTAAATCTTAGATTACTCTGCCACAACTTCTCCCATGAAGACAGTTCTATATGATGTCTCACATCTCTTGCCCACTGGATGACTGTTGTTTCCTCTCGTTCTTTCCAGGCGTCACCTATTCTGATGCAGTGAGCGCCACCGAGCCCTGCAAGCCTTGCAAGGAATGCGTGGGCCTGGAAGGCATGTTAGCACCCTGCGTGGAGTCGGACAACACCGTCTGCAAATGCATCTACGGCTACTACCGGGACGAGAGGAGTGACACTTGCAGGAAGTGCCGGATCTGCGAAGTTGGCTATGGCCTCGTGTACCCCTGCGGGGAAAATCAGAACACATGGTGTGAGAAGTGCCCCTTGGGGACGTACTCTGACGAAGCAAACCACGTGGACCCCTGCTTTCCTTGCACCGTGTGCGAAGAGGACGAGATCACCGTCAAGGAGTGCACCGCCACGTCAGATGCGAGGTGCAGAGGTAAGAGTCATTGGGACAGGCTAAAAATGTGCATTGAACAGGAAGGGTAGAGCACACTACCAATGCACAAACATTCCTTTCCAGACCTTCACTGCTGTTTGTGGAGGAAACAAAGTGGGGTGAGTGGGATGCAATGACACTGGGGTTAGGGTCAGTGGGGTGATGTCAGGATTCGGGGAATCAGATCCCTTCCCCAGGGGCAGTAGATGAGCAGATTAAACAAAAGGAGCTTTCTTACCAGACAAGTTCTTTAATGATCGCAGTGAGGGACAAGGAATGCATATCTCTAAAAGAAATGGCGTTGCTCACCCCTCCGTGTCCATTAATCTACGTCACTCCTACATTGGGTAATCTGAGCTTGTTGCTGTTGCGCTTCCTGTTCTAACACCCTCTAGTCTTGGGTGAAGGGGGAGGGCCAGGAATGCTGTCTAAGGACACTGAATCTGCCAACTGTCCCTCTCTTGGCGTTTCCTCTTCTAGCTGTTCCTCACCCAGTACTTCCCAGCTTTTCCCCTCCAGAATATGCCCTTCTGCAAACCACTGTTCTAAATCAATACTGTCCTCCTGCCCTTGGGAAGGTTCAGAAAAAGAGGGTAGCAGCTCCCACCATTCCTCCTCAGTCCAGCCCCTGACACCTGATTCCGCTTCTCTCTGGGCATTCGTTCTACATGTGCTCTGAAAACCAGGCCTCGTGCATTTCCGCAGAGCTCTGAACTCCCCCTAGGTAAAGGTAAAGGGACCCCTGACCATTAGGTCCAGTCGTGACCGACTCTGGGGCTGCGGTGCTCATCTCGCTTTATTGGCTGAGGGAGCCGGCGTACAGCTTCCGGGTCATGTGGACAGCATGACTAAGGCGCTTCTGGTGAACCAGAGCAGCACAGGGAAACGCTGTTTACCTTCCCGCTGAAGCGGTACTTATTTATCTACCTGCACTTTGACATGCTTTCAAACTGCTAGGTTGGCAGGAATAGGGACTGAGCAACGGGAGCTCACCCTGCCACAGGGATTCAAACCGCCGACCTTCTGATGGGCAAGTCCTAGGCTCTGTGATTTAACCCACAGCGCCACCCACTTACAACCCAGCTACTACTTATTCAGCCTTTGATCGGATAAACAGATCACGGGGAAAAACAAATTGTGAAGTTGTATAACTGTTCTCTGAGGTGTGTGGCCCATGCCATACCCAGCCCAACACCCTACAGCTGGTGGGTGGCAGGAGGCTATGATTACAGACTTTCCGTCTACAGATGTTACTTCTTCAACTTGCACGTGGAGACAGAGCAGCAGAGAACCGCCCACACTGCAATGCACTCCATTCCCCAGTGGTCTCATCTTCCCCTTCTTTCAACCACCAAAGATGAGAAAACACAAACTCTGAGTGTGTGCCTATTTCTCTTCCTGGCATCTTCCATTCTCTTGTCCATCCCTAACCTGAACCAGGCCAGGCCAATGTACACGATACCTTCCATTTAGCTCAGAAAAAGGTGCTACATAAACACACCTTTTATTAATTAACTTTAAAAAACACTGATAAAAGGTGTCTGAGGAAGAGTGGGAACTGTAGATCTGAGAAATGCAGGGTTCTTGTTCTATTCAGTATCTAGTAAAGGTAAAGGGACCCCTGACCATTAGGTCCAGTCGTGACCGACTCTGGGGTTGCGGCGCTCATCTCGCTTTATTGGCCCAGGGAGCCGGCGTACAGCTTCTGGGTCATGTGGCCAGCATGACTAAGGCGCTTCTGGCGAACCAGAGCAGTGCATGGAAACACCGTTTACCTTCCTGCCAGAGTGGTACCTATTTATCTCCTTGCACTTTGACGTGCTTTTGAACTGCTAGGTTGGCAGGAGCAGGGACTGAGCAACGGGAGCTCACCCCGTTGCGGGTATTCGAACCTCTGACCTGATCGGCAAGCCCTAGGCTCTGTGGTTTAACCCACAGTGCCACCCGTGTCCCTCATCCAAGATCTAGGGAGCAGTGAAACATCTGGTTCAAAGAGAGCTGGAAAATGTACTTTTGTAACCCAATAAAATCTTAATAAAAACAATTATCTATAAAAAAGGCTTCCCAGCAAAGGCAGCACCAAATTTAGCACTCAGAGCCCCTGGAAACAGGAACAAATCAAGTCACGGCAAACAGCTGTTCCTTTTCACTGTGTATATTTGAAGATGGGAAATGGTTGGGATTGAAACCGATGTGTGGACACTCCATGAACCTTTGCCAGGAATTCCCTTGACAATGGGGTGGAGTTAATGCGATCAGTAAAGTGGCATTCCCCTGACGATGAGTAAGCAACTGTTGTGATGTAACAGGGCTTCAGGTGTGGGGGGCGGGAGTCAAGGCTGCAGAGCAGAAAGAACAGCTGTTCCCTTAGGCACTGCCAAATTCCGTAAAGCTAAGCAGGGATGAGTCAGGTTCAAGGCTGGATGGGAAGCCCTAAATGAATGGGAAGAGGCGCAGGGGAAAGAGTATCGCCTGCTTATATGGGGTAGCTTGACTCAGTGTCTTGAACTAATGGAAATCCAAAGGGCTAGAGTACCAAGGTTGTCAATAATGCTATGTGGGCAAAATGTGTCAGAACTCAGATGGCAGTAAATATTCATATTATTATTTTTTTTGGGGGGGGGACCACAGGTTGTTGTTGTTGTTTTTTCAGACCTGTGAATGACCTGCACCATGCACTGATATTTGATATCGGTGGCATCATTTATTAGATAACCTGAAATGGTACCTGTGAGCTTGATGGATCAACAAGTTTCTTTCTCCAGGCCTGCCAAAAAATAATTTAAATGCTGAAGAGGAAAACCCGTTCAAAATGCAAATCCAAACTTTACATTTGAAATGTCCCAAATTGACAGTTCCCTGTGACTTCATTTCAGCTTTAAAAAATGAAACGTCAGCAGCTCAGGTCCCTGATCTCCTGGCACAAGTGTCAGTTTGGTCCTGGGAGACAGTGACTTGTCGAAGGCCGCAAAGTAATCTTTGTGGCAGGGCAGTGGTTTCAATCAGGTCTCCCGCACCCAGACCTTCAGAGGACTGGACCTTCAGAGGTCCAGTCACTACTTCTGTCTCTCCTGTGAAATGGCTCCACAGGACTGGCTACCCCCCAACCTCCCCACAGGCCTTCTCTTGTTGGAATCAGTGAGCTTAAGCAAATGAAAAAAACAAAAACAAAAAAACGAGACTTTTGATGATGGTCACACCTTCTTGAAGATTTCTTTACTCCCCTGATAAGTTCTTCTCTGTTTTATTGGCAGCGATTAACCCACGGTTTACCACAGCTGCACCAACACCGGAGTCCAACACCACGGGTGCAACCACGGCTCCTCAACACGGTACCTTCAATGTTTGTTTGTTACATTTTATTTATTTATTCAGATTAGATTTATATACCGCCCTAGATTATAAGATCTCAGGGCAGTTCGCAAAATAAAATGCAGGATAAAAACAAGTAAATAAGTAAAACAAAACAGCAAAACAATACCCACCCCCCCAATTCCCACAGACACATTTAAAAGGTTGTAGAATATTAATCAGCCAAAATACTGGTTGAAGAGGAATGTTTTTGCCTGGGGCTTAAACATATATAATGAAGGTGCCAGGTGAACTTCCCTGGAGAGAGCATTCCACAAATGGGGAGCCACTACAGAAAAGGCCCTGTTCTTGTGTTGCCACCCTCTGGACCTCACATGCAGGAGGCACACGAGGAAGGACCTCAGATGATGAATGCAGAGTCCAGGATGGTTTATATGGGCAGGGGTGGTCCTTGAGGTACAGTGGTACCTCGGGTTAAGTACTTAATTTGTTCCGGAGGTCTATTCTTAACCTGAAACTGTTCTTAACCCGAGGTACCACTTTAGCTAATGGGGCCTCTTGCTGCTGTGCGATTTCTTTTCTCATCCTGAAGCAAAGTTCTTAACTTGAGGTACTATTTCTGGGTTAGCAGAGTCTGTAACCTGAAGCGTCTGTAACCTGAAGCATCCGTAACCCAAGGTACCACTATATTTATATACCACCTTTCTTCTAATGAGCCTTCCATGGTTCCCCTTCTCATTTCACCATTGCAACAATCCTGTAAGGTAGGCTAGGCTGAGAGAGAGTGACTGGCCCAACATCACCTACAGAACTTCAAAGCCAAATGGGGATTTGAACCTTGGTCACCCAGGGCGTAGTCTAAGTTTCTGACCATCACACCACAATGGCTCTTTGCACCTTTCTTCTGACCTGGTTGAACCAGTTCCTCATTTACTTGGTTGGTATAACTCCAAACATGGAAGGACTCCATTGGAAATATGAACTGTGTGCAATAGTTCAGGTCACTAAAGCAGAATTTTTGACACACTCTGAAAGCTACAATTCCTGAGGTTTTCTGAGGGGAGGTGGAACACCACAGAGGTCAAAGAAGCTAAAAGTCAAGACTATGAGTTCAGGTTTGTATACATTCAGTAGAATGTGCTTGCAAGTACCAACAGAACCACTTATGCCAGTAGCAGCCAGCAAGGTAACTCTTTCCTTGATCCCACTCTAAATCTCCCCTCTCTGTTAGCAAAGTCACTTAAATAACACAGATGGAGTCCAGAGAGAAAAGAAACCCTGACAACACTTTACTGAGGAATCTGAACAAAACCGTGTATGATCTGAGGAGAAATTTGCTTATAACAGATACATTTCAGAAAGCGTGCCTGGTGTGCTTTGACTTCCAAAGCCTTCTTCAGTGGCATATTGTTAAAAGGGGGCATTGCCTTGTGCAAGGGCTCATAGAGCAAATTTATATAGTATATTATGCTATGGGAAAAGGAGTCCCTTCCAGTGACACACATTTTGAAAGCTGTGATTCTGAAATGCAGTCTCCCATTTCCCACACTAGTGACTCATTTGCTATTTTGCTTCCTTGCAGATTTTCCACCTGGGAGTCCTGAAGGCCCCTTTCAGGTCACAGATGGCCCAGATACCATTGATGTTTCTGGTAGCACCGTGGCTGGTACAGCAACCACAGTCATGGGTAGCTCCCAGCCTGTGGTCCGAAGCGGCACAGCAGACAACCTCATTCCTGTGTACTGCTCCATTTTGGCAGCTGTGGTGGTGGGGCTGGTGGCGTACATTGCTTTCAAGAGGTAAGCATGCTCCCAAGGTTCAGTAATGAGAGGATTATTTGTGCAGAAGAAGGACATAATCAACGTTCATTAGGGTCACTCACAAAGCCCAATCTTACTCACACCCTAAGCCCACTCCATTCTTACAAGCTGCTCCCATCATTGCCGCTTCATCCTTCCTCTGCCCCATGACCATCCTCCTTTTGTGAAATTTACTTTGGGTCAAGGGAAGGGTCAAGGCAACTTTGTTTACTCTCCGGTCTTGGCAGAGCTGTTCGAAACTGGGATGCAATTGCAACCCAATAAGAAGATGAGGCTCTGTGTTAGATTCCCATTTTCCCAGCCAGAAATGTGTGCAGAGTAGGGATGGTCAAATCTGTCAATTTCAATCCATTCCACTTCTCATTTTTTTCCAGTCTTAAATTCAGTTGTCCACTTTACCGTAGAAATTTGCAGATGTTAGTGAAAATAATCCCGTGAAAATTTACCAGCATTTCCGTATGAAATTTTCCCCAATGTGCACATTTTAAATGTGTTTTTGACTAACACAATGCATTTTTGTATTTTATTCTTGTAATGTATGCATTTATATGTGCAGTTTACACCTAGCACGTGCATTTTTGTACATGTTTCTTGGCTGGAGAAGTGCACTGTGAAATTCAGAAAAGGGCGGATTTTGACGGATAGCTGTGTTTCAGTTTGCAGATTGTTTCAGAGAGTGTGAATTAGGTAAGTTCGCCTTTAAATGCGAACTGGATCACATTTCTCCCCCATTCCCTAGTGCAGAGAGTGTCACTTTCCCACTGGGCACCATCAGTCCCACTCCTGTCCTCTGCAGGGAAAGGTGCTCCATCACATACTAAGTCACGTCCGGCTTTCCCATGCCCCAAAGTAGGTTTTGTGGTGGGGATGAGGGTAACTTAGGGCAGGGAGGAGGCGGCGGCAGCAGCAGAGGCAAGGCATTTTGGTGAGCATCTGTTTGGAGTGTTCACAATGCCTTGATCCCTTTGGGGGCAAGCAAGGTGGTCTTCAAGCATCGCTGGTGCTCAGCAGCAGAATACACACCCATTTTCTCCTTCCTCTTCAAGCTGCTTGTGTGGGATGGTGTGGGTTTTGGCGCCCTCTTCCATTTGCCCCATATGGCAGGGAAAAAGTCTCTGAGCCTGCCAACATACCATTATTGTCAAGCCTATGTTGGGTATCTTTTCCAGACAGCTGCTATTGCCTAGTTCTGGGAGTCGTCTTCTATGTTGTTGGGTTCCCAGAAACCAGCCCTTGAAGGCTGGTGCATGATTCCTCATCGGAATGTGCAAGGAGGTGCCTCCAGACATGGAAATTTTGGCAATCGTTGCCAATCTGCTTTATGGTGCAGGTGGAATAGCAGTGCTTGGTGTAGGCTGTTGCCTGTAGGGATTGGTTGGGTGGCGGGAAGGGAGGCCAACAGTAGGGGGAGCCAGAGGAAGTAACTGGCAGACTTTTGCTGAGTTCTACACTGAGACTAAGGAACGTGGGTAGTGCTGTGGGTTGAACCACAGAGCCTAGGACTTGCTGATCAGAAGGTCGGCGGCTCGAATCCCCGCGACGGGGTGAGCTCCCGTTGTTTGGTCCCTGCTCCTGCCAACCTAGCAGTTCAAAAGCACGTCAAAGTGCAAGTAGATAAATAGGTACCGCTCCGGTGGGAAGGTAAACGGCGTTTCCATGCGCTGCTCTGGTTTGCCAGAAGCGGCTTAGTCATGCTGGCCACATGACCCGGAAGCTGTACGCCGGCTCCCTTGGCCAGTAAAGCGAGATGAGTGTTGCAACCCCAGAGTCAGCCACGACTGGACCTAATGGTCAGGGGTCCCTTTACCTTTACCTTTACACTGAGACTAAGGAGGAAGAGTCAGAGATCCAGTACCATTCACATCTGGGGAAGGGTTGTAGCTCAATGGCAGAGCATCTGCTTTGCCTGTAAAAGGTCTCAGGTTCGATCCCTGGTATCTCCAGGTAGGGTTGGGAGTGCTCCTCGTTTGAAAATCCCGAAAAGCCACAGCCAGTCAGTTTAGACAGTGCTGAAGTTGTTAGTCTCAACACCTTATGCTCCTGGTTTTCTATCCCATTTACTCTAGCTGTAAGTAAGGAGACAGGCAGTTGGGAGCTGGATCAAGGCAGGCTGAGGTGGGTGGGGCTATGCCCCACTTGCCCTAATGGGATGGTCTCCACTGGCAACTCTGCTTCTGGAATCCAAATACAGTGGCACCTCGGGTTAAATACTTAAGTACTTCCTTCTGGAGGTCTGTTCTTAACCTGAAACTGTTCTTAGCCTGAGGCACCACTTTAGCTAATGGGGCCTCCAGCTGCTGCCGCGCCACCGGAGCACCATTTCTGTTCTCATCCTGAAGCAAAGTTCTTAACCTGAAGCACTATTTCTGGGTTAGCGGAGTCTGTAACCTGAAGCGTATGTAACCTGAAGCGTCTGTAACCTGAGGTACCACTGTAACAATTTACAGTTTGGCTGGCAATCCCCCCTTTCCTCAGCTCTAAATGTTGGGTGTGTTGGTGGGGAGGGGGGCGATTTTCATTTGAACCATGGTGTGGACAGAAACTGTTAATTATTAATTCTACCCTCATTACACTCTTGATCATGATTATTCCCCCAAACACACTGCAATTTGGGGAATTGGGGAGGAATTGATACAAAGGCAATGACACACCCGCCAACATTTCTCTGATGAAAACAGAGACGTCTTATTCAACAACAACAACAACAACAACTTTATTTATACCCTGCCCATCTGACTGGGTTGCCCCAGCCACTCTGGGCAACTTCCAACATATATAAAAACATAATTAAGCATTAAACATTAAACAATTTCCCTGTACAGGGCTGCCTTCAGAGGTGTTCTAGAGGTTATATAGTAACTTATCTCCTTGGCTTGGAGGTTGCATAACTCCATACCTTCCAACATTTCTCTGCTAAAATAAGGACATCCTACCATACCCTCCAACCTTTCTCTGATGAAAATAAAGATGTCCTAAGGAAAAGTGGGACATTCTGGGATCAAATCAGAAACCGGGCTGGCTTTTGTAAATCCGGGACTGCTCCCGGAAAATGGGTACACTTGGAGGGTCTGCAATGAGATTTGAAAAGACAAGGGTTAAAGCAATAGAGCTGAATGGTAGACAGGAGAGACCGACCATAGAGAAGGAAATGTCTTGAGTAATCTATACAGGCCATAACCAGCCAATCTATGTACTGAACAGCTGCACAACGTATCACCTACATCTGGGGATACTGCACAGCTGTTCCATTGTGTGTGTTAAAAAAACAAAAAAACAAAAGCTTGGCTTTTCTATGCTCCGAGGGTTGGGGAGGGGAAGAAATGCTGAACAGGGAAACATTGGAGCAGGATGTTTTGTTGAAAATGCCGTTGAAATGCCTTGTTAAAAAGTGAGTAAACAAGGCTTGGCTATTCCGTAGTAAGTGCATAGTTAAGATAACGGAATTCGCTACTGCAAGATGTAGGGAACGCAATCGAGTCGGACAGCTTCAGAAGGGAGTTAGCTACACGCCTGGGGGAGAACGCCAGCCATGACGGCTTTATTATGTCCAGTATCAGAGGAGGTATACCTCTGATTGCCGGTTGTTTGGGATTATGTGTGGGAAAGAACTGTGGCACTCAGGTCCTGCTTCGCTGGTTTCCCACAGGCAACTGTTTGGCTGCTGTGAGAACAGGATGTTGGACTAGATTGGCTTATGCGCGCTGCTCCGAGATGCACACAGGGGTCAGGAACGTAATCTCTCCACAAACCGGCCATTGCCTGTGTATATAGAATCCACCAGCGTATTTATGGGCTTCGTTTCCATTTGCTTGCTGTTTCAGGAAATGCACGTTAGGTAGAGTCAGGTTTAAACACGCACTTTCTCCCCCCATCCTTTAGGCCCACCAAAATCTAGAGCTGGCTAGTGATGAGCTAAAAGGTAAAGGGGCCCCCGACTATTAGGTCCAGTCGTGACCGACTCTGGGGTTGCGGCGCTCATCTCGCTTTATTGGCCGAGGGAGCCGGCGTACAGCTTCCGGGTCATGCGGCCAGCATGACTGAGCCGCTTCTGGCAAACCAGAGCACCTCACGGAAACACCGTTTACCTTCCTGCCAGAGCGGTACCTATTTATCTACTTGCACTTTGACGTGCTTTTGAACTGCTAGGTTGGCAGGAGCAGGGACCGAGCAACGGGAGCTCACCCCATTGCGGGGATTCGAACCGCCGACCTTCTGATCGGCAAGTCCTAGGCTCTGTGGTTTAACCCACAGCGCCACCAGCACTAAAGTTCAGATTTGTAGGCAGCCCTGGAATAATGATAATAATAATTTATTATTTATACCCTGCCCACCTGGCTGGGTTTCCCCAGCCACTCTGGGCAGCACCCAACAGAATATTAAAAACACGATCAAACATCAAACATTAAGAACTTCCCTAAACAGGGCTGCCTTCAGTTGTCTTCTAAAAGTCAGATAGTTGTTTATTTCCTTGACATCTGGTGGGAGGGCGTTCCACAGGGCGGGCGCCACTACCGAGAAGGCCCTATGTCTGGTTCCCTGTAACCTCACTTCTCACAGTGAGGGAACCACCAGAAGGCCCTCGGAGTTCGACCTCAGTGTCTGGGCTGAGCGATGAGGGTGGAGATGCTCCTTCAAGTATACTGGGCCAAGGCTGTTTAGGGCTTTAAAGGTCAGCACCAACACTTTGAATTGTGCTCGGAAACGTACTGGGAGCCAATGTAGGCCTTTCAGGACCGGTGTTATATGATCTTGGTGGCCATTCCCAGTCACCAGTCTAGCTGCCGAATGGCTGGGGTGGGGTTGCAACCAGCCTGCTGGGCTACTTGATAGCTGAACCCCATCCTTAGAAGGTTCACCCTTAGCAAGTGTAGGAGACCTTTGGCCCTGCAGATGTTGCTGAACTCTATCCCCCCAGCATGCATGGCCAATGACCAGCGATGGTGGCAGTTGTAGTTCAGTGACAAGTGGAGGGCCAAAGGTGTGTCCCCCCCACCCGATCCAGGGGCGGCTTCATGGTCTTCTGGTTCAGCACGGGAAGTGTCCTAGGGAGATAAATGCAGGCTCTGTTCCTTCCATATGAGCCTTTGTGGACTTCCATGAAAACTTTGGTTGCCGAGAATCAAGGAGCCGGTGCAGACGAGTGCAACCTCATGCCTGGACTGGAGAAACAGTCCCTGCCGCGAGGTTTGCCTGAGCAAGCCCCGAGAAGATTGGGCTCACCACACCCAAAGCATTGTGATCCGCAGGGAGCAATCTACCGTGTTGGCAACGGCGCCAAGTTTGTGGTCTACCTTGATCCGGGAAAGGAGGCGTGAGCATCTGAGGCTCAGCTGTTCCCTGCTTTTTCACCTCTAGGTGGAACAGCTGCAAGCAGAACAAGCAAGGAGCCAACAACCGTCCCGTCAACCAGACGCCTTCGCCGGAAGGGGAGAAGCTCCACAGCGATAGCGGCATCTCGGTCGACAGCCAAAGCCTCCATGACCAACAGCCGCAAACACAGACGGCATCCATGCAAGGCAAGGGGGATGGCCTGCTGGGTGAACGGGGAGGAAGGCCTAGGGGATGCCAGCTAGCTTCAGGGAATAGGGGGCAGCAGCTGCCAAGCGTGTTCAGGCTGTCACCTGCAAATCATAGAACTGTAGAATTGGAAGGGACCATGAAGATCATCCAGTCCAACCCCCTGCAATGTGGGAACCTTTCGCCCAACGCGGGGCTCAAACTCACGATCCTGAGATTAAGAGCTTCATGCTCTTCCAACTGAATTGTAGGAGCCAACTCCTAGGGGCTGAGTTCCCTTTGGCCCCCCAATAAGATATTTAAGGAGGCATTGCCATTCAAATGGGGTGTGTGCACCAGGTCTGGTGATCAATTACCTGCCCCCCCTCCATATTTTATTTAACTTGGCACCCTTGGACTGAGCTACTCTAGTTGTAACTGGCAGAAGCTGGTGAACTAAGCAAAACACAATGGGAGACAAAGGTCAGTCCTCTTTTTCCATCGCCCCACAGACTCAGTAGTGGCCCATCCAAATGACGGGGAATTCCATCTTGATTTCCAAACTGAAAGGGAGCATTGTAGGACAGGGCCATTTGAGCAATCAGACTTCCGATGCAAAAAGCAAAATGCATAACAAGCATAGTGGTACCTTGGAACTCGAATGGCTTGGCTCCCAAATGCCGCAAATCCGGAAATAAGTGTTCCGATTTGCAAACGTTTTTCGGAAGCTGGATGTCCGACGCAGCTTTGGTGGCTTCTGCGGCTTCCGCTTGAGTGCAGGAAGCTCCTGCAGCCAATTGGAAGCCGTGCCTTGGTTTTTGAATGGTTTTGGGAGTCGAACGGAATCCCGGAACAGATAAGTTTGAGAACCAAGGTACCACTGTATTCACCAAGCAAATATGCATCTATCCATCCATACATCTCTCTCTGTGTGTATTGCACAGAGCCCCAAAATATTAAGTGTAGGGTTGTTTTTTAAAACCAAGGTGTTTTGGGTTACAGAACTGAAATGATAGGCTCCCCTAAATCTGTGCTCCCCCCACCAATGTTCTTTATTTAGAACTGGTGATTTTAAACACCTTTCTTGTTTGCAAAGCTTTAAATTGCAGGGGTTGGACCAGAAGACCCTTGGGGTCCCTTCTGACTCTACAATTCTATGAAAACAAATAAGCAAAAGGATGTATCTTTCTCACTTCTTCCTTTGGAAATTAAGATCACCTTTCACTCCTGATCGATGGATTTATTCAGGGATGGACAGCAGGACTGATCTACCATTAGGCAAATATATATCATCACTTGAATGATGCTGGTGGGAGGCAGAGACTTTTATTCAAATATCAAGAAGAGTTGAAACAAAACCATACAATGATTTCTTTACCAAATTCGTTAGGTCCACTAGAACATTTTATTTTATTTTTTGGTTAAAAAAAATAGTACGGAACAGAACTAATCCTGTATACTTGCCTCTCGCACGGCCACTTCGTTATAAATAGATTGTGTTGCATACAAATTAATACAATTCAATACAATCCATGTATGGTGCTGGACACATTGCAGCTTAGTGTTCTTCAGTATATGAGTAAATCTGATTATGATTATTGTTGAAAATTAGTGGGCGTAGCAGATTTATTTAAAAAATAGATGCTTGCCTCCATCCATCCATCTTTCTATCTATATTTGGAAGAGAAGTATTCCCACCCCCACTCAACTGGGTTAAAACTGATTTTCACTTTGACTGGGGCACTTGTATTCGACATACGTTGCCTTCCATTGTAATTCTCCTACCATCAAGTATGGCCCACTCTCCATTCTACTCCCTACTCCCACATTTCATACCCCAACAGACTCTTTTCTGGCGCCAGCACCCCTCTGTTGAGAGCCAGTGTGGTGTAGTGGTTAAGAGCGGTAGACTCGTAATCTGGTGAACCGGGTTCGCGTCTCTGCTCCTCCACATGCAGCTGCTGGGTGACCTTGGGCTAGTCACACTTCTCTGAAGTCTCTCAGCCTCACTCACCTCACAGAGGGTTTGTTGTGGGGGAGGAAGGGAAAGGAGATTGTTAGCCACTTTGATAAAGTGATAAAGTGGGATATCAAATCCAAACTCTTCTTCTTCTTCTCTGTTGGCATTTTGTTTGCTCAAATGGGAGGCTGTCAAAGCAGTTTGCTAAACTGGTCTCTGAAACAGCCCCCTCTCAAAGTTTACAGATGGGGGGACCCCACTTCAGAGAGCAGCTTGGCTTAGGGCCTTCCTACACGAGAGAGAGAGAGAGAGAGAGAGAGAGAGAGAGAGAGAGCGCGAGCCTGCGCTTCAAAATGCAGAAAACCTTCAAACTCCCTCCATATTTCTCCTTTAAAACTCCGAGGAAGTTTAAAGAGAAATGAGGGGGGTGGGGACATAGACATCACACCCCCATCAGCTGTTGGGTTCTAGGAGAACCCCCTGCTCAAGGTTTTCAAATGCTTCCCCTCCGCGTTTCTGCTTCAACCCTCTGTGGAAGTTTAAAGGAGAAGTACGGGAGGGTGGGGTGGGGGGTGTTGAAAAGCCATTTGTAAACATCCCCATGTGAAGAGGCTTACAAAGGGCTGTTTGAAAAACCCTGCAGTTTGCTTTGATGTCCTGACAATCAGAGCAGCGCCAGATTTAGGGTGGCGCAGATGGCACCCCTGCACTGGGTGCCGAGCTGAGAGGATTAATAATAATAATAATAATAATAATAATAATAATAATAATATCTGACTGGGTTGCCCCAGCCACTATGGGCAGCTTCCAACATGTATAAAAACATAATAAAATATTAGACATTAAAAAGGCTTCCCTATACAGGGCTGCCTTCAGAGATCTTCTAAAGTTAATAATAATAATAATAATAATAATAATAATAATAATAATAATACCTACTCAAAGTTAGGGGGCACCAATTCTTGTCCTTGCTCAGGTTGCCATATTACCAAAATCCATCCCTGATTGGAGAAGCAAAACCTGATATCACTCTGACATCAGGTGATTGACAAGTGACTGACTCCAACCACCAGGCAGCTTTGGCCTGCAATGGGTTGGGGAGATAAAGATCTGGTCTTCTGGCTCAAAAAGGTTCCCTGCCCTTGGTGTAGACAACTCTGAGCTGGGCGGGACAATGACCTGACTCGGGTTAAGGCAGCTTCCTCAGTTCCTAGTAGGGCACTGATGGTCAGATGCAGGCCTGCTTTCCCAATGACAGATCCAGACCTTCTTGGCTTCTGAGGTGGGCTGGGTGTTGACTTCCTACCTACGTAACCCCTTTTGTGCTCCCCACCCCTGTTCCCCCCACTCCAGGCCTTAAAGGAGACGGGAACCTTTACACCAACCTGCCTGTCAACAAGAGGGAGGAGGTTGAGAAGCTGCTGAACGGTTCCACCGAGGAGACTTGGCGCCACTTGGCTGGGGAGCTGGGCTACAAGGAGGACCACATAGACTCCTTCACTCAGGAGGAGTACCCCGTCCGCGCCCTTCTCTCCGACTGGTCCAGCAAAGACAGCGCCACAATGGACGCCCTTTATACCGCCTTGCGCAAAATCCAACGGGGGGACATTGTGGAAAGCCTCTACAGCGAGTCCACTGCCAGTTCGCCAGTCTGAAGCAGGGGAGGCGGGGCAGAGGTCCTACGGGCCAGCCCCTCTGTGATTCCCCACCCTGCTTTTTCCCTCACCGATGCCTCTCGGGGTGAAGACACATGAAGGAAAACAAAATGGAGCTTAGTCTCCCCATGGCCACCATCGTTTCTGCGGAGCACCAGAGCAACCCTGTAATGCACTGCATCGGTTGTGGGTTGTTTTCTTCCTCCTCCCCAGTATTTTCACCCAATACCTCTTACCTGTAGCAGACAGTAAGATGCTAAAAAAAGGAGAAAGAAACAGAGGAAGGTAACTGGAACGAATGTTATTGCTTGTGTGTGTGTGTGTTTCAAGAAAAAATGGATTGACAGCATTTTGCTGGTCCTGCAGAACTTGCACCCAGTCGATGCTGCTAGTTTGGTCTCACTCTTCCAGGTGCCTCTGAATGGCCATCTTATGTGCCTCTCCATCCTTGTCTCTGTGGATCTTCTTTCCTCACTTGTACTTGTCAATCTTCAGCCACTGACTCTTCCTTTTTAGGCACTGTGTCCCCCTAAGCCAAGAAATACAATAGGCAGCCTGGCTTGAATGTGTTGCATGGCCGACGGACTTGAAGGAGGCTGACAGAGGATGAATATTTGGATCTGGAGCATGAGGATGTTAAGAGGACACGATGGAGACTTTATCTTCAGGGAGCGTCTCTGGGAGGGGAGGAAGGATGTGATTTCTGGCTTGTCAAAACTGACACTGTGAAGATCAAACCTCGAAGTATATGGACAGAGGCTTAGGAGGAGACCCTCATCCATGTTTCCATCCATGCGTTGCTGGCAACATCAAGAATGTCTTTGGTCCCTGATCTCTCTTTTTCTTGCTCAAGATGCATTCCTCGTAGTTCAGTGAAGCTGTGTTGAACCTCGCCCCGTAGCTCCCTTGCTGGGTTTGATCAAAGCTAGCCAGTCCCCAAATGGGACAGCGCTAGTTTAAAAAGGGGTTATAAGCCATACTTGAGAGAGCAGAGCTGGCCAAGGCAAACAAACTAACAGTGCAAACATTGTCGTTAATGAGTGGGAATTGTATTAATCACTGTGATCCTATAAACCTGGCCTCATTATCCCAGATGTTGTGTTCGTGAGACATAATTAAAGCGATGCTCTGCATTCTTCCTCAGACTAGTGAACCAATCACTGTGGGTTATTAAAGCCATTACCTCTGTTGCATTAAAAAGGGGGTGAGCAAAAGTCCCCCTTGGTGGCCTTAAGACATAAGGTGGAGAGAGGAGGGCTGTGGTTCTATGCTAAAGACTCAGAGCTAGATTTGGGTTGGGTGTTAAACCTCTATGGTTTGCCGGTGTTCCCCTATCCCCACCCATTTTCATAAATATTAGAGGGTACTGAAAAGTAAAATAAAGGGTGGGGGGACGGGGACGGTCTCCATAAGTGAAGAGGATCCACCTGAAGTCATTGGGCCAACTAAAGTGAACTGGGATCATCGCTTCCCCCTTGATATATATTACAAGATATTTGTAGACCTGGTGGAGAACTTGTGATGTTTGAAAATTTGCAGCATTTTGAACCACTGCGGAGCCTGCCAGAGGAGATCATCGCACTGCTCCTGTTGTCTCTCTGGACTGGAATTATGCAGAAAAGGGATCCTCTTCACCCACTCACAGAAGTATATAAGGGCTTTAGGAAGAGTTGGAAACCAATACATAAGAAAGCTGGGATGGAATGCAAGAGAATTTTCCAGCCCCACACTTGGGTGCGATGAGGAGTATATGGCAGCCCTCCGAGAAAGGTTGCTTTTCTGGTTAAAACACATTTTGCTTCCGTCAATAATTTCTCCAGTGTTTTGCCTAAACTGGAACATCTCAATTTGCCTTGAAAATTTGCTCTAGGCAAAACTGAATGGCAGTTCTAGGTAGGATGGGATTATTAATTTTTATTTTTTAAAACCTCTCTCTTGTCAGACAACTGGGACTACCACTTCTTTTACAAGCTGTTGGCATCAGATGGCCAGAATCTCTAAGTAAGAGGTGGACAAAAATCCAGAAGATGTGGCGAACCAGTATGCAAGTCCTGAGTGGTAGAATGTATTGGGAAATCAGCACCACAGATGGTGTGTTACTCCCTTCAAATTGCCACTCAGGTGATTAATCTTCCTCCTGAGCCACCGGTGCGACAGGTATCTGTAAACACCTGCACGCAGTATCAGCAGATATCAGCAGATAGCGAAAGTGAGGCTTGAGGCATAGATACGAAGCACTACGTTTATTATTTACAGGACAAAGGAAAGCATGGCTCCTCTTACTTTCTTCATCGGCAAGAGAAGAGAAGAGCAAAAGCAATATCACGGAAACGGCGTATCTGAACTTCCGGTCCCATGACATCCAACACTGTGGAATGTAAACGCAGACGCGTGACAACAACAATCACACATCTGCAGCACGGAGGAGTGGAATTCCCAACAGAATGGACTACACAAGAAAAGCATGAAACTGCCATATCCTTAGATAACTGATTGGCCTAAGTATTGTCCACTCTGGCAGGTTGCATCCCCCCAATGGTTCAGATAGAGGCCTACCAGATTTTTTTTATGGGTAGAGACATCAGGAGTTGGGGTGTTCTACATGCAAGGCTCTACCACTGAGCTATAGCCCACCCTCATCTTAACCTTGGTCAGAAGGTCTCTAGGGTGGTCCTTCAACCATCAACCACCATGATCCCCTCACACTGTTTCTTCTCCTGGTGGAGAAATGTGCTCTATATTTCAGGGACTACCCAAGAGAAGCAAGAAGATAATGCAAAACGATCTGACTCTTCTTGACCAGCCATGACTGCTGAGCCATTCTGTCCCCTTTGGGCACACTGCAGCCAAGCATGCCCCTTATTTTATTTTTTTATGGGGACACCATCCTATCTTCATGCTTAGAGAAGAGAGGCAAGATAAAAGCACCGGTGAAATTTGGATCATTGTGGACAATCATGTATAGAATTACCCCCCATTTCAGTGGGTCTATTTCTGCATGCAAAAAAATTAAAATAAATAATTTCAATCTCTCTCTCTTTTTTTTTTGGCCAACTTTGATCATAGTTCTAACACTGGTGGGACAAAACTGGTGGCGGTAACTCCTAGCCAGAGTGTGTGCACAGCTCTGTAGTAGCTACTATCTATGAACAGAACAACAGAGAATGTTTGACCACTGTTGGTGAGAGCATAGTGCCATATATTCAAACTAAACTAACAGCTTTGATGTCAAACTTTTTAAAATAGAGATGGTGGAACCATTGGCTGCCAATTCCAGAAAGCTTCATTAGAAACTTTTTGTCCCTTGAAAGGTGGTGGACTCTCCTTCCTTGGAGGTTTTTAAGCAGGGGTTGGATGGCCATCTGTCATGGATGCTTTAAGCTGAGATTTTTGCATTGCAGGGGGTTAGATGAGATAACCCTTGGGGGTATTTTCCAACTCTACTGCCCTGTGAATCTATGGTTCTGTCCCTTCTGGTCCACATTCTAGATTGCAATCATGGAATTCCAGACCGGCGGAATTACCTCCATGTGCATGTGCAAAACGCCACATGCCTGATGAAATCAGTGATTGTGTAGCACACCGAAGACCTCTGCAGATGAGCATAGAGGCCTGGAGGATGTTTCTGGGCCACATTAGGCCTCCCTGCACATCTGCAGAATCCCTGACATTGCCAGTGAAATAGTGGACTATGCACAGGAGCCTGGAAAGGTTTCAAGGACTCGCCAGAACTTAACAGAAGCTGCTCCATTAGCTGAGAGATTCTAGGAAGTCCTGTTTTCCTTCTTGGACCCATCCCACCCTGGCCGGAAGAACAGTACACTCCACCGTAGGCTGTGCTTGTAGCAAAATCAGGCAGTGTTCTTATCTGATAGGACAGAGGCCACGGATATCATCTCTAATTAATAAATGAGCATGGAACAGGTCCAGCTGCAACACGCCAGTTTACAACCTCTAGAAGATCACAGAGTTGCAGAACGGAAAGCAGAATCTCACGGTTATCAAAGCTGCCTCCAGACCGTCGCTATTTTGAGCGAGGGATTCCATCTCATACTGGAACTTTAGCTTTGCACAGCTAAGCTAGATGAGCAGATAAGTGCTATGGTAACATGGCACAGCAAATCCACCTTTAAAAACACACACCTTGTGGTGTTAGGAAAGCGATGGGAATAAATGGAATAAAACGCGTAGGGCAAATGACAGGTGGGTGGGGAGCAGCATAACCTCTCGGCAAATAAATCAGAACGATTGCCTCATGAAGAGCAGGCATCGTTTAGAAGTCCCGTGAAACCTTTGTGCGAGCAGCTCGGGATGACTGCTCAGCTGAACGTGGCAGAAAGATACTGAGCATCCTTTTTGTTGTTGTCGATAGAAATCACAAGAGGCAGTGATGGCCACCAATTTGGATGGCTTTAAAGGAGGATTAGACCAATGCCTGCTGGTTAAGGCTATTGATGGCTACTCGCCCAGCCATGTCCTGTCTCCAGTATCAGAGGCAGCATACCAGGAATTCTGTATATTGCTGGAAACCACAGGAGAGAAGAGTGCTGTTTTCATGCTTGGAGGATTCCCATGGGCATTTGGTTGGCCACTGTAAGAACAGGAGGCTGGACTAGATGGGTCCATGGCCTCTTCTTATGAATATGCAGACCCTCCTCAATCTTAAATTCATGAGAACATGTGTGCCTTTGGAGAAGAAAGCCAAATGTGTGTGTTTCGCCCCCCCACCCAATAAGTCAACAGATGGTAAATTCTTAAGCTGAGAACCAACTAAGAGACAGGGGAAGATGGGGAGTCACGGGTTATACATAACGTGGCTGCAAAATGGACACTGATGCTGAATAAGCTGATTTCACATGGAGAAGAGTCTTCTGTATCAGATCCATGCTTAAGTTTCTAAAGGTATTTTGCATGAAAGAAAGAGAGAAAAACCGTTAGAAAGCTACATTTCCCCACAAAACTTGGTTGGCATATTTGTAAATCTGATTCAGAATTTCACAGCTAGAAAGAAAGCAAGAGAGAGAGAGAAAAGTATTATAAAAGAAAAAGGAAATAGCCAAAGTTAGTACCTTACAAAAAAAATAAATCGCTGCCTATATTTTACATTTCTTTGTTGCGATGCGTGGGGTTTCTATTTTGTTAATACTCTTGTTCCCCCGTCCCGTGGTTTGCTTGTAATACAAATGCCAGTTTATTAAAACAGTCTTTACCAATAATAAACATTTCTGTAATAGAAGCAATTGGATTGGTCAGTAGGTTTCACGGCGATTGTCCGAAAGGCCCATTTCCCCCTGGCTTTTCAGTTTGCATGGGTGGATGACTCAAAGGGGACGGCGGGGGAGGGGGCGAAAGGTGACTTTAGATGATGTTGTAGTGGCTGCGTGGACAACTGTAACTGTGTACTGTTCAGATGTGAATAAATATGTGTACCTGTGTCCGTTTGTGTCTCACGTGTCTTCCAGCAATCCAACAGAGGAAGAGGCAGGTTTTATGTTCAGCTCGGACAGGTCTCAGCCTGTCGTTCTCCTTTTCCCTGCCTGATTCTGCGGCTCTCCAAACAGCTTACGATTTCACATTCCTCCCCCTTGTTGTACAAAACTGACAACCCACCCACCCCCTCCCCAAAAATTAAAAATGCCTTCTAAATTCTGCAGCCCCCTCCAAGTTTACTTTGCAATCAAAATAAACAAACTGAGCAGATTTAGGTAAACATAGTCAATGTGCATAAATCTCTTCTAGATGGTCCAGTTCAGACACAGATGTTTGCTCTTAGGGATAGATGAACTGGATCCCCTTTTGCTTGCGTTGACTAATAGACATGCTCAAGCACATTTGACATAATTGATGAACCGGTGTTATGAATTTCCCCGGGACTGGTGTATGGCTGGCTGGAGGTCAGTCTCTCCAAGGGCAAGCCCCTTTGCAGTTTCATAAAGGTAAAGGGACCCCTGACCATTAGGTCCAGTCGTGGCCGACTCTGCGGTTGCGGCGCTCATCTCGTTTTATTGGCCGAGGGAGCCGGTGTACAGCTTCTGGGTCGTGTAGCCAGCATGACTAAGCCGCTTCTGGTGAACCAGAGCAGTGCACGGAAATGCCGTTTACCCTCCCGCCGGAGCGGTACCTATTTATCTACTTGCACTTTGACGTGTTTTTGAACTGCTAGGTTGGCAGGAGCAGGGACTGAGTAACGGGAGCTCACCCCGTCGCGGGGATTCGAACCGCCGACCTTCTGATTGGCAAGTCCTAGGCTCTGTGGTTTAACCCACAGCGCCACTCGCATCCCTGCAGTTTCATACAATAACGCAATAGTCATTTTATTCTTTGCATCTGTCTCCTTCTCTTTGTCCAAAGAGCTCAGCATCATGTGGGCATAGCTTGCATTCCTTGGGTGGTCTGGTCTTGTATCAGGTCCAAATTTGTTCGGCAGCAGGTGCTTTTGGGACTTTTATTCAGGCCCGGTGCTGAAAATAGTTCCTCCCTGAACAAGGAGCATGCAACAGGGCATGGCATAAATTTCCCTTGTCTGCATTACCTTGTCTGCATCCCTGCATTACCTGTGTGCTTGCCTGTTGTGTCACTGGGGATGCCATGGGGCTGGCTGGAGGGTGAGCATCACAGGGGCCACCTGTAAATTCCTTGAGCAATACTCAAAGCCAACCTCTGAGTAGAGTCCCATCCACACCAAACATTTAAAGCACATTGCTTACCCCCAAGGAATCCTGGGAATTGTCGTTTAAGGGTGATGGGAATAATTGTGACCTTTGTGACTTCCTTCTAGGCCTAAAGGCGGGGGCACTGGCTATGGAAACTTGCTAACTGTAATGAAGGAGAAGTGCTTTGTACATGTTCAGAGGGGTCCTTGTCCATTGCAAAGCCCTGAACTCTGAGCCCCTGATTTTAAAACAAGCTCCAGGGCTAGGTGTGTGTGCATATATAAATTTGGGGCGCTCTTCTCCTGCTACCCAGAAACCATACACACACACAAAAATGTTTAAAGTAACTTACACAAAGCTGGTGGAGAGGGCAACCAAACCACTGGCCCCAGCCTGAATTGTAACTGATGTTAAGCAAGTACTTATTTTCACCTACTTCCTCTTATACCCCAAGCATAAATGGCAAGAGCTGGCAGTGGCAGCAGGAGGGGGTGGAGGAGCAGCTCACCAGATGTTCTGTGTTTGAAAGGAGAGTTTCGTTTTACGTCTTGTTTACACTTCGAGAGATAGCCAAGGTTGTTTAATTCGGTGTCACGATCCCGACTCAACAATTTACAAGCTCAGGTCTGAAACCGGGAGTCTTTCATTGTCCCAGATGTGGAGAAGGGCTTGTTGTGCTTTTGCTTAGGACGCCCTCTGCACAGGCCCAGAGGTGCTTTCAGCCTCAGTTATTTCCAGGGTTGTTGTTCCTTCCCCTGCCGGAACTTGCCGGAACTCAGTTCTGGCACCTCTCAGGTGGGCGCCATTGCCATTCTAAGAGAACAAGGGAGGCGTTCATGGTGAGTTCTGGCACCTCTTTTTCTAGAAAAAATAGCACTGTTTCTCAGACTCAGCTTGTGGCAGGTGAAAATGTCCACCATGACTTTTGACAGCTAGCATGGAGCGGTGGTCAGAGCAGTGGTGTAGCGTGGGAGCCCCCAAATTGTTAGAGGGCGCAAAATTTCAACACCTGGTGCTGCCTCAGTACAGCTGCGCTCTTCCGTCGCTGGACTCCGTTGAAAACAGCTTCTCCATGAGAACCAGGAAGTGACCTCTGCAGACAACTCTACAGACATTTCTTTTCTCATCTCTGCAGCTGCGATCTCCTGGGGGACACAGATGCTGTTAGGCAGTTGAAAGTGCATGCATACCCCATACGTTTTCCTCTCTCTGCATGGCCCCGGGCGCCAGCAACCCATGCTATGTCACTGGGTCAGAGTGCCAGGTTGGTCCAGGCTCCAATCCCCCTTCAGCCGTGAAGCTCTTATGGAGGGGTCTTGGCCTGGGCAGATCCTTACCTCTCAGCCTGACCTACCTCACAGGGTTGCTGTGAGTTTAAAATGGGGAAGGGCAGAGAGATCCATGCACATTGCTTTGAGTACCTTGGAGTGGGTGAAAAGCAGGATATAAACAGAGATATAAATCAATGTAATAAAACTTTCTACAGGCAGAGACTTATCCATGCAACATCTGACACACTGGTGACAATCAAAATCTGGTGTTTACACACCCTCAGAAATTCCAAAAGTGCTCATGGGCAAGCAAGCATGTATTCTCTCTCTCTCTCTCTCTCTCTCTCTCTCTCTCTCTCCCTCTCCCTCCCTTCCTCTCTCTGTCTCTCTCTTGCCCCCTCTCTCTCGTATCTCAAAATACATGCCATGACAGAGAGGTTGTCCTCCCTATGACCATACAGATTTCATTTGACTACAAACTCCATCATCCCTGACCAGGGCTGATGGGAGTTGTAGTCCAACAACATCAGGAGCACAACTGCTTCCCCATCCCTCTGTTACGATAAATGCCCCTCTTTTTAAAGCATAATCTGACTAGTTTTTTTCTGAAGAAAAAACAGCTCTGGTTCTATAACGTATTATTGTCCCATATCAGCACCCCGCACTGATCTCCTGCCAAATATCTATGCCACCACCTCCACCCTGGTTCCTCCTTTCTCCTGAAGGTGACACTCTCCTCAGTGAATCCCCACAACAACCTTGTGATGTAGGTTGGGCTCAGAGGGAGCGACTGGCCCTGGGTCTCCGATTGGGCATCAAACCTGCAACTTTGGCATTATTAGCACCCTGCTCTAACCAACTGAGCTATCCAGGTAGACAAAGGAACACCTTTCAGCTGTCCCGGAGCATATATTATTATTATTATTATTTATACCCCGCCCATCTGGCTCCCAACAGAATATTAAAAACACAATAAAACATCAAATATTAAAAACTTCCCCAAACAGGGCTGCCTTCAGATGTCTTCTAAAAGTCAGATAGTTGTTTATTTCCTTGACATCTGATGGGAGGGCATTCCACAGGGCGGGTGCCACTACCGAGAAGGCCCTCTGCTGGTTCCCTACAAGCTCGCTTCTCGCAGGGAGGGATCCGCCAGAAGGCTTTCAGCGCTGGACCTCGGTGTCTGGGCTGAATGATGGCGGTGGAGACACTCCTTCAGGTATACTGGGCTGAGGCCATTTAGGGCTTTAAAGGTCAGCACCAAGACTTTGAATTGTGCTCGGAAACGTACTGGGAGCCAATGTAGCCCTTTCAGGACTGGTGTTATGTGGTCTCGGTGGCTGCTGCCAGTCACCAGTCCAGCTGCCGCATCACATCCTCGCATGGGGAAATGCAAAGGGAGAAACAGAGGTTTGGAGAAAGCGACAACAGCAGAAAACCATGGGCTGCTGTGTCCGGAGTAAGCTCCTGTTATCCGATAAAAGTTCCTGGCAATTGAAGAACAAAGATTCACCTCCTGATGCCCCCCTCCCACTCAGAGTGGGGGGGGGAGGAAAAGGCAGGGAGGGAAGGGATGCAAGCTCCACGCATCAGAAGCTGGAGCAGAGCCGCCTGCTCACCACCCCATGCCCCCAGGCGCAATCTGTCCGCCACATGTGGAAGGCAGCATACATTCCCCAATAATGCAAAGCAGGACATTTTCACATTCCGGCTGGGTGCCAGACCGGAGTCAAACTCTGCTCCCCAAAGGCCTGTCTTGGTGTCTTTATAAACATGGGGGCAAGGGAAGCTTGATGTGGTGGGGAAATATCAGCACAGGATACGGTGGTCCCTTGTCGCTCTTGGCCTAAGCTGCGGTGAAGACCCAGGTCAGATTAAGCAATAGAGACCGGCGCTTGAAGCTTGGCAGTGACTTGGTCTGAAACTGCTTTTAATACCAGGGTTTTGCCCTCAGATGCAGGAAGGGAAGAGGGCCTATGGGCAGATGCAGAGGAGGGGAAAAACAGAGGAGAGCAACCAAGGGGCTGGAAACCAAGCCTAATGAGGAACAGTTGACTGAGCTGGGTATATTTAACCTGGAAAAGAAGGAGACTGAGAGAAGATATGATAGCCGTCTTCAAATATCTGAAGGGCTGCCACACGGAAGTTGGAACAAGCTTGCTTTCTCCTGCTCTGGAGGGGAGAACTTGGATCAATGGCTTCAAGGTACAAGAAAGGAGATTCCGACTAAACATCAGGAAGAACTTTCTGACAGTAAGAGCTGTTTGACAGTGGAACGGTCTCCCTTGGGAGGCTGTGGACTCTCCTTCCTTGGAGGTTTTTAAGCAGAGGTTGGATGGCCATCTGTCATGCTTTACTTGAGATTCCTGCATTGCAGAGGGTTGGACTAGAAGACCTTTGGGGGGAGTCCCAGCTCTAGGATTCTATGAGGTGGAAAAGAACCTCAATCAAATTCTCCTAAATTGAGTGAAAATTTATATGACTCATTTGATTTGACTCTGAATTCCAAACAACCAAAACCAATCAAACATATACACAAGATAACAAATTATAGTGTATACACCAAGATGAAATAAGTAATCACTTGGTTTATTCAATCTGTTTTTGCGAGTATAAAATGGGAGAGGCAGAACTGTGTCCTCTGCCTTATGCTCCTTAGAGGACTAGGACTAGCCACCTGAGAAACAGTTTCTATTCAAATGCGATTTTGGTTTTAAACGCAGTGTAAGGTAGTCTCAATGGGAGTATATTGTATTTAATTATGGGGTATCAGAGTTTTTAGGGGGCTAACCAGGTTGGGATAGCTGGGATAGCAGACTTGTTGGTTTCTGAATGTCTGATATAGATTTTCAATTTTGTTGTTCTGTATGGGACAATGACAACAAATATTATCGTATCATATAGTATCATAAGCGTATAATAATAAGGAAATTAAAGTTGGGATTCATATCAATATGGTCAGATAAATTCTGATGTCACAAGGAAGGCTTAGGTATTCAGATGGGGGTGTTGCTAATGGGGGCCACCATCTTTACTTCAATATGGTCACTGTAAATCAAGGCTAGGGAGCCAAATATGACTCTCTGAACATATCTGTTGGCTGTTGGGACGCTCTTCAGGCCACACCCTCACCAACTCTGCATTGGTTTCCAAACTGCATTGGTGCCCAAACTCCCCTCCCCCCACAGACCCCTTGAAAATTGCTGAGGGTCTTGACAGACCACTGCATGATTCCCCCCCACCCCGCCTCTTGTAACAGTTGAAAGGCACTGAACTGGATACTGTATGATTTTTAATTACATGTTTACAGATATGCCCCATGCCACCTGCATGAAGTTTGGGGACTCCTGCCCTAAGGCACCAAGGTAAATGTCCTCAATCCACTTTTGCCTCTGACCTCACCAACCTGTGGCCTCTGGAAGGTTGCTCTTGAAGAAACTTGACCCCGGGTCATAAAAAGTATCCCCCGGCCGAGTAAACAAAGATGGCGGTCCCAAGTGTGTGTGTGCTGTCGGCCATCTTGTAACACGTCCAGTGAAATATCCAAAGCTCCAGGACTGGCAGTCCAGCTCCCACCTTCCGAAGCCCCAAACCTCTCTTGTCTTAGGCTCTGCATACACAACCCTAGTTACTCAATGAAAGGCAGACAGAGAAGTCACGCCCAGCGCCAACAAGCGTAGGTGTACATGTTTTCTAGCTAGATCTCTCTCCCTCTCTCCTTCCCTCCACTCCATGAGGTGATTCCAAGTAGCCTTCATATAGCCCCACACAGCTCTCCCCTTGTTCTTATCTCTCCCTGTTCACATCCCTGCTCCCCTCAATTCCTTTCGCCCATCATGTCTTACTGAGTCATGCTCTGCTTCTGCCAAGCCCCTCCGGGCATCTGGCACAGACTCTGCAAGGAGTGGTTTCGCACGCTGGCATTTACGAGGGATGCCAGGCAAGACTTTGCTTTCTCTGGAAAAAGGCAGAGCCCTTTCCCTTTCGGGAAGGCGTTCTTTCCACGCTCCCTTTTTCGCTCGGCCTCCACAGTCTTCAGGGGTGGGTAGAGAGCATTAGCGGGTGGGGGGGAAGGTTTAAATTTTATATTCACCAAATTATCTGCCTTTTCGTTTTTGGCTGGCTTCCTAGTCTGTTGTGGCACATAGGCAGAAGCGGGTTGAGACTGGGCAATGGTGCTTTGTCATTTAAAATGTCTCTATTTGTTTGTTTACAGTACAGTGGTACCTTGGGTTAAGTACTTAATTCGTTCCGGAGGTCCGTTCTTAACCTGAAACTGTTCTTAACCTGAAGCACCACTTTAGCTAATAGGGCCTCCTGCTGCCGCCACGCTGCCAGAGCACAATTTCTGTTCTCATCCTGAAGCAAAGTTCTTAACCTGAGGTAATATTTCTGGGTTAGCTGAGTCTGTAACCTGAAGCGTCTGTAACCTGAAGCGTATGTAACCCAAGGTACCACTGTATTGCATTTATATTAGGGTTGCCATATTTCAAAAAGTGAACATCCAGACTTTTCTGGCCAAAGTTGTTGGGCTTTTTTTTAGTTTTGCCCAAAGTCGCTGAGCCCTTTTTAAGGGTATTCGCCAATATCTATACTTCCGACATGGGTTGCCATAGGTCTGGATTTTCCCAGACATTTCAGCGATTTCCACCCGGACACTGTTTTCCTGGCAATGTCAGGGAAATTCCGGTCATATGGCAACCCTAATTTATATGGCACCATTTTCTCTAAGGAGTTCAAGTCAGCATACATGGTTCCTCTCTCCTCATTTCATCCCCACAACAGCTCTGTGAGGTAGGTTAGGCTGAGTGGTGGTGACTGGCTCAATATACAGTGGTACCTCGGGTTAAGTACTTAATTCGTTCCGGAGGTCCGTTCTTAACCTGAAACTGTTCTTAACCTGAAGCACCACTTTAGCTAATGGGGCCTCCTGCTGCCGCCACGCTGCCGGAGCACGATTTCTGTTCTCATCCTGAAGCAAAGTTCTTAACCCGAGGTAATATTTCTGGGTTAGCGGAGTCTGTAACCTGAAGTGTATGTAACCTGAAGTGTATGTAACCTGAAGCGTATGTAGTGGTATAGCATGGGGGGGCGGTTGCCCCGGGCGCAAAATTGTTAGGGGTGCAACATTTTGACACCCTGTTCTGCCTCGATACTGCTGCACGCTTCCATCTCTGGGACGCGTCATCTGCAAATGTGGCAAAGGCAAGTTTTGGAGTCAAAATCTGGCCAAATGTAAGCTTTACATATGAATGACAGGTGCTGGGGGCGGGCAGGAATGAAAACCGATTTAAGCGTCACATTCTATAAGCAAGAAAGCAGCTTAAGAATGCCAGCCGTTAATTTGAGAACACGATGCTGGATTGGAAATCAAACGGATCGAGGAGCCTCCATTGCAAATCTAACGGGGGGACTTTCAGATGTCTCTCCCTTTTTTATCTACCCGCTGCCATCCTCTGCGGCAGAAACAGGAGTCCCCTTTCTGCCATTTTCCACAGCTCCGAGGAAAAGCTTTAATGTGGAGCGATATTGTCCAGCAAGTGGAATTGGCAATCAATCCTCTCTTTCATGACCTTTAATTCTTTCCTCTGCTTCAGTTGTGGGAAAAAGGAAAGGGATTATTTATTTAGTCCAGAGGATATATGTCTGTGTGCATAAGTGTGTTTGTGTGTTTTATATATATATATATATGGAGTCCAACTTGGTTTCTTTCCAAATGGCATCAGGGACCTACAGAATCCCGACGGCTTGGCGGGAGGTGAAAACCCGGAAACGGAGGATTTTATTTCTGGCTTTTTTACAATGAGAAAGTGCCTTACGCTGGTGCAGTGTGGGAGTTTTATTCCCAGCCCAAATTTTAAAAAGTGGACTGAGAAGGAGGTGAGAACATATCCGATGCGTGGTTCCTGTTGCCCATAGCTGTTCCTTTTCAACTCTGGCTCCTTGTGGAGAGAGAAAGAGCTCACTCTGAAGCAAAGTTTCCATGAAATCCAAACTTACTGGCTCGTACCGTCCCTTGTGCCCCAAATGCAATTTACCATCAGAAGACCAGTCCTTTCGTATGGGTTTGCTGTACCCCACATAATGAAGCCTGTTAGAATCTTAGAATTGTATAGTTGGAAAGGTCATCTCCCTGCAATGCAGGAATCTCAACACCATACATTTAAGGCACATTCAAGACATATTCCAAGCACATGTCTTCCCCCAAAGAATCTTGGGAGCAGTAGTTTACCCAGCACAGAGCCACAATTCTCAGCACCCTTAAACAAATTATAGTTCCCGGGGTTCTTTGAGGGGAAACAAAGTGCCTTAAATGTGTATTGAATGCTCTTGAAATGTATTGTGTGGTTTGGAACGCAGACAAGGGAGAAAGACTCCCTACTTCATACTGATGCTTTCCCCATGTCGTAACACTGATGTAAAATCCCTCCACAAATCCAGTGTTTTCCATGAAGCTCTTGGCTCAACCCCATAGTTCCCAGGCCCTATTGCAGGGATGAAGAACCTGCAGTCCTCCTGATATTGTGGGACTACTATTTTGCCAGATAGGCCCCCCCCTTTTTTTTGCCAAGCAATGTTCCCTAACCTGTTGCTCTTTTGTAAGCTGCTTTAAATAATATATGCATGTCTATGCACGCTTTACCCAGCATATGCAGTTCTGTACACATAATTGGCTGCAGAGCCACACTGCAAATTTCAGGAAACAGTGAATTCCGAAGGGTGTTTCCATTCCGCTTCGTGTGTTGAAATTAAGTTCTGCAGCAATTTTTAAATTTAAGCAAAACTTACGTAGTGCAGCACGGGGACTCAATTGTTGATTGATTGATTGCCCACCATTTACCCTAAGGAAACCAGGGTGGGCTACGGCATTAAAAACAATAATAATAATAACCTGCACCAAGTAATATGATGTAAAACGACAATGGAATTAAAGTTGCATTAGACATACAATATACCAAAAAATGGCAGGTACTTTTTTGCATATCGTTTGCATATAATTAGGCTTCTAAATAAATAAATAAATAAATGCACAAGGAGCCCAGACCTAAGCAGGCACTTGATGAAAGTAGTGGTGTGATATGAGTAAAGCACGGCTGAGTCGGAACCACCAAAAGGCTGTGTATAAATCAATTTATTCAGATTCCCCACCTCACTCCTAACTTCATTTTCAGTTCCATTACAGGGCAATGTATAAAAGCCAGAAAGTGTGACTTTCAGATGAGCCTTGCAATCTCTTGCTTTTATAGAAGGAATCACACATTTGGGAGGATGGCTCAGTCGGTAGAGCACGAGACTCTTAATCTTGGGGTTGTGGGTTCGAGCCCCACGCTGGGCAAAAGATTCCTGCATTGCAGGGGATTGGGCTACAGATGACATTCTTTGTCCCTCCCTCCCCAATTCTACGGTGTCTTCCTCCGCATCTGTCTACCCCAGTTAAATGTCAAAACAGCGCAGTCCGTCGCATCACAACACGTCAAGGGCAACGCACCGGTATGCTTCCCAAGAGCCCCGCCTTGCGTGAGTCATTGAAATTTAAGCTCTTCCAACGGAGCTTAAATTACATACCCTGCAGGTAAGAAAAAGAGCTGACAATATGCTATGCTAATCAGGGAAGCAGCAAAGGCACAGGAGGTGTCACACCCATGTGCCGCGTTTCTGTAGAACACCACCTACTCCTTTGGGTTTAATTTCCTTTGCATGTGTGTGCAAAGCAGCAAATCATGCGGGGACAGCCGCACCTCTCCACCCAAAAGTTACCCCAATACTTAGCGTTACTCTAATGAGCTTGGACCCCGCCTAACTAAGGCTGCATGCCCACATACGGCCATAATAATACATTCTCCAGTTGCATAGGATTCCTGTACTGAAAGCATAGAGCATGAAAGGGCATGCCTGGGGTGGAAGGAGTTAAAGGCCCATCAATTCCAATGCACCACTTTCCATCGTAGCCAACCAGATAGGAAGCCCACATGAAGGTCATTTTGTGCCCTTTCTGTCAGGGCTCAGGGAAGAAGAAGAAGAAGAAGAAGAAGAAGAAGAAGAAGAAGGGGAGGAGGAGAGTTTGGATTTGATATCCCTCTTTATCACTACCCTAGGTAAAGGTAAAGGGACCCCTGACTATCAGACTTTTAGAAGACATCTGAAAGCAGCCCTGTTTAGGGAAGATTTAATGTTTGATGCATTACTGTATTTTAATATTTTGTTGAAAGCCACTCAGAGTGGCTGGGGAAGCCCAGCCAGATGGGTGGGGTATAAATAATAAGTTGTTGTTGTTGTTGTCAGTTTGGAAGCATGAAGAAAGAGAGGGGTGCCCCAGCAGGAAAGAAGTATGTAGTGTGACAGCTTCCTGCCAAGGTAGAAAAAGAAAGTGATCGTACGGAGCATTCTCTAGCAAATTTTTCAGGAAAGCTGTGAGCCTTGACCCTTTCATGTGCCTGTTTGCCAAAGCATGGATTGTTGGTTTCAGAGGCGCCAACTTCTGGAAAAGGTTGTGGTGGCCCAGCGTGATGTCCTGATGTCACACGAACAATGTCGTGAGGAGCCAGGGGGTGGATCCGAACATGGTGGCACCACGGCCCCAGTGGACGGCAGCCCCTGTCCTCTCCTCCCCCTGCTTCGCAAGGGGAAGATGGAGAAGCTGTCCCCAGCCAGGAGGAGGACCTGGCTCCGCATTTGTCCACCCTCTGAATATGGGGCCCCTGTCTCCCTTTAAAAAAGACACTGGGGGGATCCAAAGTGCCTCAGTCCTTAGGAGTTGGCATCTATGGTTGGTTTGACTGCAGCAATGTCTCACACCCCGTTCTTGTTTCCCAGTGCCTGGAAACAGGGTAGCGCTTCTGAGCTATCAGAGTGAAGCACCTATTGATTGACTTGCCCACCATAAATACGTTTAGAAGGGAAAGCCATCTTTGATATTTTATTTTCCATGCCCTGTCATGGCAACCCATCAGAGGCAAAATTGCTTCTACAAGTCAACATCTGTACCCTTAAGTCTCAGACTCACTGATTAAAATTGCCCCCCGCAGCTTAGCCAATTAAAGCTTCAGTTGATTAATCTACCAATTAAACTAATTAAAGTTTGCAGGCCTTAGGTGTTTGTTGTTGTTTTTTTTTTAAAACTCACATTCGCCGCCTGATTGATTACAGTATCTTGAAGTCAGAAATGAATTTCCTCCCTAGGGCAGATTGGCTAATGACGATGGGAATGGCATAAGCAAGGGACTTAGAAAGAAATGGTTGCAGATGTGTATCGAAAGCAGTAGGGTTGGGCATGTTTACTTTTAGAGAGCCAGTGTAGTGGCTTAGAGACATGAACTAGTGAAACCTAAGATGAAATCCTCACTATGCCAAAACAACACCGGATCAATGAATTGTTGCATGTTAGCATTGGAAGGGGACCTTTTCATTCAACCTTCTGCTCAGTTATCTGCAATGGAAGATGTTAATTATACCATTCCTGATTAAGGATGGGGGGGGAGGGGGACAGACGGACTCGATTCAGTTCTCATTTACAGTTTAGTTTATCCAATTCACACCTTCCAAACCAATATGAGAACCAAAACACACCCATTTTCCAAAATTCAGATTTAGCTGAGATTAACTGTGAGGTTCTCCAACCAACCAACATTTACAAAAATGCATACAGCAGGAGAAATAATAATAATAATAATAATAATAATAATAATAATTTATTATTTATACCCCGCCCATCTGTATAAAACATCAGACATTAAAAACTCCCCTAAACAGGGCTGCCTTCAGATGTCTTCTAAAAGTCAGATAAAGTAGTTGTTTATTTCCTTGACATCTGATGGGAGGGCGTTCCACAGGGTGGGCACCAATACTGAGAAGGCCCTCTGCCTGCTTCCCTGTAACCTCACTTCTCACAGTGAGGGAACTGCCAGAAGGCCCTCAGAGCTGGACTTCGGTGTCCGGACTAGACGATGGGGGTGGAGATGCTCCTTCGGGTGTTTAGGGCTTTAAAGGTCAGCACCAACACTTTGAATTGTGCTCGGAAACGCACTGGGAGCCAATGTAGGTCTTTCAGGACTGGTGTTGTGTGGTCTCGGCGGCCGCTCCCAGTCACCAGTCTAGTTGCCGCATTCAGGTACAGGACTGCAGCCGTATAGATGATGATAACAACCATGCCTGCTGGCACAGCAAAGACGGGAAGTCGCTTTGGAGTGTTGTCTGCTGTGCCCAAATCCACTGATATCTAAACCCCACAGGCAAGCCCGAAAAGTGTGAGTTAGTCTTTGCCTGTGAACAAACAGACACGCCTGGGCATGCAAATTCACCCGCATGCGTTTTCCCACCGTCCTCTCATGAAACAGTCCGCCTTGACAAGAAGCTCAAGGCTTTTTGAATGCAGGCTTTACACAGGCTTTCCTCCAAAAGAAGCCTTAATCCGAAAAAGAAAGAGTGGATAGCAGCGAGCAAGTTGACTGGGATTAAATTCATTGTTCCCATCAGGTTGATAAAAGCTCCCTGCTCCACCCACCTCAACCAAGAGTTACGTTCACACACACACACGGCTGCTTTTAAGCCTCTGGAAACACAAATGTGTAACTGCCTCTCTGTCAGCTCCTCATCACTACCACACAGCCAACACCTTTTCACAGAGACATTGTTTTTCTTTCTGTGGTTTCCTCCCCGTCTCTGAGTGGCTTCAGAACTTGCTTTCAGATGTGGAAGCCATAAGATGTTTGTGGAACATGGGAAGCTGCCTTATGCCATTGGTCCACTCATCTCTATATTGTTTACACAGGCTAGCAGTGTCTCTCCAAGGTTTCAGGCAGGAGACATTCCCAGCCCTGACCTAGGGAAGCCGGAATTCAAACTCAGCACCTTCTGCATGCAGAGCTCACCGGTCATGAAGCTCACTGGGTGACCTTCGGCCAGTTATGGCCTCTTCGTTTCACAGACCCTCAAAGTGTCCCCCTGTTTTCCAGGGACAATCCCAGATTTACAGAAGCCATCTTGGTTCTGATCTGATCCCAGAATGTCCCACTTTTCCTTAAAGGTAAAGGTACCCCTGACTGTTAGATCCAGTTGCGGATGACTCTGGGGTCATCTCACTCTATAGGCCGAGGGAGCCAGCATTTGTTTGCAGACAGCTTCCGGGTCATGTGGCCAGCATGACTAAGTTGCTTCTGGTGAACCAGAGCAGCACATGGAAACACCGTTTACCTTCCCGCCGGAGTGGTACCTATTTATCTCCTTGCACTTTGACATGCTTTTGAACTGCTAGGTTGGCAGGAGCTGGGACTGAACAACGGAAGCTCACCCCATTGCGGGGATTCGAAACGCCGACCTTCTGATCAGCAAGCCCAAGGCTCAGTTTAGACCACAGCGCCACCCGCATCCCTCGCTTTTCCTTTGGAAGTCCCTATTTTCAATGGAGAAATCTTGGAAGGTATGGAAGAAGATGTCACAATTTTCATTGGAGAAATGTTGGAGACTATGGTTTCGCCTACCTCACAGGATTGTTGTGAGGAGAATAAAATGGGCAGGGGGAAAAAACCATGTATTTAACTCATTGATGGCTAGAAAAGTAATAAACGTGCTCAGAGATACCAGTTACCACTTCACACTTTCCGAATTGCGGGAAGCAGCTCAGGAAACAGCACCGACCTTCCAAACAGAAGGTCCCCCCCCCCCCGGACTACAACCACCCTCATGAATTGCCTTCCGAAGAGAAAGCTAAGAAAAGGCTTGAAAGATAGAGCAAGGAGGCGTAATTTGAAGGCTGTGTGGTTCCATGGAGCCTCAGGCGTGTGGTACTGCAGCAAGGAGGTAAACATGCTGGTTGACAACAAACAAGACCAGGCGGGTATTTGATTTGCGGTCTGCGCACCTTGCATGCGAAATAAGAAAAGAATTGGATTGATTTTATTTATTTTTCAAAGGAGAATAAGTGTAGACACAGCAGGAGCAAAGCCAACATGTAGACCATTAAAGGATGTTCCTAGAGCTCAGCCAAAATTTCTGGGCTGAGAAGATTTTTGAGATTTCCCTTTTTCTTACCTAACACCCCACCCACCATTTAATCTCTCTCTCTCTCTCTCTCTCTCTCTCTCACACACACACACACACACACACACACAATGCCCCAGCATGGTGGTGGCTTCAGGAGCACCATGGACAATGCAAAATGGTGGTCAGGCTACCAACCCAGTTGCTCACTGCTGTCGAAATACAGTGGTACCTCAGGTTACATACGCTTCAGGTTACATATGCTTCAGGTTACAGACTCCGCTAACCCAGAAATAGTACCTCGAGTTAAGAACTTTACCTCAGGATGAGAACAGAAATCGTGCGGCAGCAGCAGGAGGCCCC